CTGGCTGGCATGTGGTGCTGAGGATCGAACCGCGGTCCCTGTGCTTTGCCAAGCTTGTTTCAAGTAGGTGCTTTAGACCACTGAGCCATCTCTCCAGCCCCCCAGAATTCTTTATGGTATACAAGTGCCCATGCTGTTACTTTGCGGGGAAGGCAGAAACGTGGTGCAAAGTGCAGCTCTCTTCTACCCTCCCCACCTGGGGTAGACGCCGCCATGTGGTTGTGTAGTTCCCTTCCCTGCAAAGATGCAAACATCGTGCCTGTGTGCTGTGTGAGCAGCCACTGTCACACAGCGTGAGCGGCCGTGTCTGGCAGGGTACCGGCTTATGTGGGCCGCCTTTACAAAGTAGCACACAAGGTCCTCCAGCAGCAGGAACTTTCTTGATTTAGAGGTCTGAGATCAGGGCTTCCAGGGCTAGCTCTTCCTGAGGCCTCTTTCGTGGGCTTGTAGGTGGCCGCCTTTTCCTTGGACTCGTGTGATGGTTCTTGTCTGGATTCTGTGCCTAGTTTCTTACCGTTTGAAACCATTCATTTTGCTCAGAGGCCACCTCAGTGACCTCACTGGACCCTAATAGCTGCTGTAAAGATCTAACGTAGTTAGGTGTGCAGCATGGAGGCTAGAACTGAGTTTTCACTCTTTTGGGGTGGAAGTGTAGTTAAGCCTATAATCCTCGGTTTCTAATGCACAGTCTCTTAGAATTTAGGCTCGAGGGGTGGAGAGCTGGCAAGTCCCTTGCTGCCATCCCATGCCTAACCTGCTGTGGCTCACGGGAGCGTTTCCAGCCCTGCTCACGGACCCTGTCTGTGAGGACCTCGTGCTGCTGAACGTGAGCTCTGAGAGGCAGCGTGTAGGCCCTGCCCGGCACTGCACGCAGACACGATCCCTGTCAGGGAGTGTCTTTCTAAACTGCTGTGTGAGTTTTGCATACAGTGATGGATGCCCCTTATCCTCTGATTGGATTTTTGTTTTATTGCTTCAACTCAGGGTGAGATACATATAACAAAACTTTTTAAATACACAGCCTGGAGATGTTAGGTGCGTTCGTGTTGTTGCACAGTGATGACAGCCATCTTTAGAGCTGTTTTTGTTTTAGGAAACTGACACTCCACACTCGTACAGTAATCCCATAACCCTCTACCCAGCCCCAAAGGCCAATATTCTGTGATAAAAGCAAGTTTTAGAAACTAACTGATATCTTTTGAAACCAAAAGTAGTGCATGGTATGTAGGACAACACCATTTTAAAAAATTAAGTGAACTTCGTGATTTTTCTTGAGACACTCCTAGTTCTCTGGGAAGGGTACAGGTGGAATTTGGGAGCGGGTGGCAGTGCCATTTGGGGGAGCTGCATACAGTGCGTTTATCACAGGATGGGTCAAGGAAGAGTCCCACAGGGTCAGTGTACTGTTACTTACTTTACTTTGGACTAAGAGCCCTCATTTTGATGTTTTAGAATTATTTTCAGGGAGGCGAAGGAGATGTAAAATGAATTATGCGTAGCATACACGTACTGTCTTCTGATGAGTGTAGTATTCTACACATGTACTGACGAAGAAAGCTATCACCAGGTGAACATAAGAAACAATTATCTTCACACTGCCAAAAACATAGTCAGAAGCCTGTGTCTCTTGTACTGATTCAAACAGAAGACACCCCTTTGGGAACAGATACTAATTTCATATTTTCTAGAAGTTAATAGTGATAGGCTTGAAGGTAAAACACTAGCTTTCATGGTCCTGGAGAATGATGCCACATAAAAAGTGACTGCTGAGTCCTGGGCAGGTCCACTGGGAAAGGGAGGGATTCCGCGCCTCTCTGCAGAAATCGGTGTGGCCAGCCCGAGCCCAAGGCTTTCAGGGTGTTGCCCAAGAACTCGGTGAGGAAGAGCAGCCCTCTACACAGGAGTAGAGTGGGACTGGGGAGATGGAGCTTTGTCCTGCGCCAAGAGGAGAAACTACAACGTTATTAGTGCCGGGACAACCTTGAGATCTGTTTCTCAGTTCATGTTTTTGTAGGTGCATTTTTGATACAGTGGCTGTAAGAATATTATTAATACAGAAAATGAGTATTACTGTGTTTTCCTTGTATTTTAGGTAACGAGGGTGTGCCTTCTGGTGATGTTGGAAGCACCTTTGTAGAAAAAGGTGTGAAAATAAGCCGGGACTGTATGGACTTGGGTGTCTGTACCAGGGAGAAGCTGGCGCATGTGAGAGACTGCAAAACAGGTACCCGCCCATGTGTTACTCACTTTTTCAGTGTCACCAAGGGATTTGAATTCCTAGATCTAAAACATTTACATACTCAGTTATAGATATGCATTCATATGTGTTATGTTCGTCATTGTCTAGACACTTGCGCTATTTCAGCTTTATCTTTTATTAGTAGAAATGGTAAGCTCTTTTTTTGTTTTTTACTGGCAGTCGAACTCGGGACCTTGCACTTACAGCCAGGCACGTGTGCACTGAGCTATATCCCCAGGCTAACAATAAGTTCTTTAAAGTTACATTTTCATTTTCTTTTAGCATAGGGTATCTTTATGTAGTTTAGGCTGGTCTTGAATGCCTGTATTGCCCAGACTGGCCCCAAACTTGTTGCTATCCTCCTGCCTTAGCCTCTCAAGTGTTGAGATTATAGGTATACACCACCACGTGGACCCTGCTTATGTCTCACTTCTGCAAAAGATTTTTCTCTACGTCTGGAAGGGGCTTTGCAAATGCTCCTCTCCCAGTCCTTTCTGGAATGCTGCTGTGAAACAGAAAACATGACCAGCGTAGGTAATTCTTCGTTGTGAGCCTATGCTTCACCCTGACATCGCAGGCACAGTTGTAGCGGAGTGTGCTTCCGGGAGGCGAGTCTGCTGTTCTCGCTGGGTGCTCGGGGCCCTGTGGCTCTCCTTCACTGATACAGATCCGTGGTTTTCTTACTTTCTAAAACCAAAGTAACAAAATGTTTTGCAGCAAATAAATAGCACACATGTAGTGAAGCAGAGCACTGTTTCACAGTGCTTGCCCTCAGCGTATGTCTAGCACTATGGCACGATTGTCCTGTTGTCTTTCCTTAAGTGTGCGTTTTCCTTCCCTTGATTTCATATCTGTGGCACTGTTTGGGCTGGATGCATTTGGAAAACACTGGTGTAGGTGATCTCAACAGTCTTGCCATCTTTTACCTGCTGGGTTCACTTTCTTAGTTCACTGTTGTTGCCATTTCCTCAGGATCTGGGAGAACAAATGGAAACTTTTCTTTAAAATAGCACAGTGACTCCTCCTTTCTACCAGATATATATCACAGGTTGAGGCTGAGAAATACCGAGGCACATATGATACCTTTCCTTCCTCGCCATCTTGGGGTTCATGTTTCCACTTCCTCCAGGAGAAAAGGCATATGCTACCTGTTACATGACTTTCTTTTTCTTTTACAAAACAAAAATGTGATGATTATCTTTAAGGAGAGGTAGGAAGAGACTCCTTAAACCCTCCTAAATTTTTGTCCTGGAAGATGCTTATGCCATTATGAGCACTTACTGACCATGCTTAGTCTGTCTCTGATTTTGTCCTGTAGATGCTTAAGATGTGAATAAAGATTTCTATCGAGGGAAAGAACTAGAAGCACACATGGCTTCTGCATGCCTGAAAGAAGCCCCAGGCTCTGTCTTCTTGCAGGAAATACACAGTTCCTCTGTTCCAGATTTTCTTTCCATCATATGTGGGACTTATGCAGCTCCCTGACCAATGATGAATTTTTCCACAATTTTCAGAAATGTGGTTAACTTTTGCTTATCTGGATTTTCCAGGCATTGGGGCTTGTGTTTGTGGTAAGAATCAGGCAGTCACTTTGTAATCTAAAAGCAGCATAAGTCAGGACAGTATTTGGGACTATTATTACAGCTGATGTGAATTAGGATCAAGACTAGAAGAAGGTGTGGGGAGAGGCTGAGGTAGCTGAGTGCAGATGCCCTTCTCTTCCCAAGCACACAAGGCCAGTGCCTGCTCTCATGCTCCTCGGAGGCCAGTTTCACACACATCCCATTTCTAGGCTGCAAGTTTTAATTTATCTTTTTTATTTTTACCCAAATTAGGTCTTTATTATAATTTTTCCACATATTTATCATTCTTTTTTTAATATTTATCATTCTTTAAAAGTTCAATCAACCTTTTTTGGTTTTTTTTTCTTTTTTAAATTAATTTTATTGAGAAACAGCAATGAGACAGTTTCAAAACTGATTAATAGAACAGTTTCAATAATTAATACAATGCATATTGTTATCTTTTTAGTGGGTATTCATAGTACAAGAGGCAAACATGATATCCTGTCCAAACTCTATTAGTGCAAATCTTTCTTCTCATTAAATTAAGAGAAAGCTGTATATCTACCTATTTTGTATATACAGATACAAAATGGTCCTTCCTTTATATCCTCTTTTTTTGTTTAGTTTTGTTGGAGATGGGTATTCCACTGCCACTTAAATATTGTAGGTGTGTGAATTCAGCAAAATAATCCAATATAGTCTAGTAGTCCATAATAGTAGTGGGTTATCCATAGGACTGGCAATGTCAGAAGTTTTTGACTTGAGCCTTTCACAGTTCAGCATATTAATAGTGGCTGTACTTTTTTTTTTTTTTTGGCAGAACCAGGGATTGAACTCAGGCCCTTGCACTTGCCAGACAAGAGTTTATTCTACTGATCCATCTCCCTGGCCCCAAAAGATGATTTTTTTTTTTTTTTTTTTTTTTTTTTTTTGGGCGGAAGCGGAGATTGAACTCGGGCCCTTGCGATTGCCAGGGAATTGCATATTCCATTGAGCCATCTCCCCAGCCCCAGTGGCTTTACTTTTTATACCTCGTTTTTATACTTTTCTGCTGGATCGTTAAGACCAAGATAAAGCAAGACTTATATAACAACAAATGTATCTTTTCTATCTGATAAGGTCAGTCAAGTCCCCTCAGGATTTATACTGTTACCCTGTACCGCAATTTGCAGATCCTTTGTCATTGACAACCATGTGGATGAGTAACAGCCATTGCTTGACCAGTTAGCTCTCTGTGAAAGCCTGAGAGAATGTTTTCTCTCCATGGGATTCTCCTTAGGCACACTCTATGTCATTGATCACATTGCTCTGTGGCCCCATAATCTCCTTGATCAGAAAATTTGGGACACAACTGAGTTGCATGATGTTACAGTACAGGTTGTCCTGAGTCTTCACTGACCTTGAGAGGCTAGGACCAAAATGTTGGCTGTCCTTGCAGCACTTCTTTTTCTCTGATTTTTGGTCTGCAAACTTAGGTTGTTAACCCTCCAGAAGAGAAGCTTATTATTACCCTACAATATGCAGTTGGGTTTAACCTCCCTATCTGTCTGAATATTAAACATCTTAGGCATAATGTGAAACAGGTATTTTCCTTCTAGTATTGATATGTTAAACTTGAATAAACGATTACATATTATTACACAGAAATTGACAAATCTAACCATGTACAGCATTGTAGCAGGACTGTCCTATGACATTTTTTTCCTCCTGTCTGTTTTCATTTATTGCCCTCTTTTTTTAAAAAAAACCCAAACATTTACTTGAGAGACAGTGTGGCAATAATTGATATGTCATGACAAGCAGTACATATTTAGAAGACAAAAATGACAGGCATTCCAAGTGTGACCCTTCTACTACACATGATTTTTTCAATACACTTGCTTAGTTCACAGGTATCAGCATATATAGTTAGTCAGGTGAGAATCCTACCAATTAACTGCAAGTTTCAAAAACCTGCTGATGATTCTCAGGACCATTGCCTTACCCATCTTCTGCATATAAATGTGTGGCCCCTGTCATATTTCCCAGCTTTTCTCTTTGTCCTGTCCACGTTGTCCAAACCTTAAGTTCTCACTTTCCTTTTAATTGTGTTATACCTTTCTATTTGTATTTCTTCTTTTGAGTTCTTACACTAGGAAGACTATACGATATTTACACATGTGGGTCTGGTTTATTTCACTTATGAGTGTATCTTCAAGTGGCATCCACTTCAATATACATGCTTCAAGTTTATCATCTTTACAGCTGAGTAATACTCCATTGTATAATAATACTACATCTTCTTCATTCATTCTTCAGGTGACAGGCATCTTAGTTGTTTCCAAGATTTAGCTATCACAAAGTGTGCTGCTATAAATGTAGGTACACATATATCACTATGATATGATGTTTTCAGTTCCTCTGGGAAAATTCCAGTAGGGGGATAGCTAGTTTGAATGGGATTTACAGCGCTAGTTTTTTTTTTTTTTTTTTTTTTGGTGGAACCGGGGATTGAACTTAGGCCATTGTACTTGCCAAGGAAGCGCTTATTCCACTGAGCCATCTCCCCGGGCCCCCAGCTCTAGTTTTTTAAGTAGTCTCCACGCTGATTTCCATAATGGTTGTACCAGTCTACATTCCCACCAGCAGTGGAGAAGGGTTCCTTTTTCCCCACAACCTCTCCAGCATTTGTTGTTGGTTGATTTCTTTATGATAGCCTTTCTCTGGGGTGAGATGCTATCTCAGTGTTGCTTTAATTTGCATTTCATGAATAGCTAGTGATGTGGAGCATTTTTTCATATATTTATTCACTTTTTAAATTTCGTCCTCTGAGAAGTGTGTGTTCATTTTGGATGCCCATTTCTGGGTTGGGTCTTTAAATTTTGGGGCTCTAATTGGTTTTTAGTTATTTATAAATTCTAGAGAGCAGACCATTGTCTGAATGCTTATTAGTCAAGATTTTTTTGAAATTTGTGGATTGTCTTTTCACCTTGTTGGTAATTTCTTTTGACATGCAAAAAGTCTCAATAAGAGGAGGCCTTAGATAATTCTTTCAAGTATTACCCGTGCAATTTGATTTTGGTTCATGAACTCTTTGCCTTCCTTTATGTCTTCAAGGGTTCCTCCTACTTTCTCTTCCAGGAGATTTAGTGTTTCGGTTGTAATGTTTACATCTTTAATCCACTTTGACTTAGCTTAGTGCATGGGGATAGACCTGAGTCAAGTTTTAGTTTTTGGCATGTAGTGAGCCAGTTTTTCCAGCACAGTTTGTTAAAGAGGCTGTCTTTCTTCCAGTAAGCATGTTTGGCCCCTTCATCGAATATCAGGTGACTGAGTGTGTTGGTAGAGGCTTCTGCATCTTCTAATCTATTCCATTGATCCTCAGGTCTATTTTGTTGCCAGTACCATGCTGATTTTATCACAGCAGTTTTGTAGTATAATTTCAACTCAGGAATTGTAATTCCTCCTGCCTTGTCTTTGTTGCCCAAGATTGCCTTTGCTATTCTAGGTCTTTTCTGGTTCCAAATAAATTTTAGGAATGATTTCTCTAGGTCTATGAGGTATGTTGGTGGTAGTTTGATGGAGATGGCATTAAATCTGTACAGCAACTTTGGGAGTATGGCCATCTTCACAATGGTGGTTGTTCCTATCCAGGAGCAGGGAGTATCTTTCCATTTTCTGAAATCCTCTATGATCTCTTTTTTCAGAGTACCATAATTTTCCTTGAAAAGATCTTTGACTTCTTTAGTTAGATGAATTCCAAGGTATTTCATTTTCTTAGGTGCTATTGTAACAGGTATTGTTTCTCTAATTTTCCTCTCACAGAGTGTTTGTTATCTGTGTAGAGGAATACAGTTGACTTTTGGGTGTTGACTTTGTATCCTCCTATGCTACTGAATTTGTGCATCAAGTCTAGTAGCTTCTTGGTGGAGTTTTTTGGGTCTTCCAAGTGAAGTATCATGTCATGTGCAAATTCTTATTCCTCTTATTTCTCTCTCTTGCCTAATGGCTCTAGCTAGTGATTGCAGAACTATATTGAATAGGATGGGTGATAGAGGACATCCTTGTCTTGTACCAGAGCTGACAGTAAACGATTTCAGTATTTTCCCATTTAGAATTATGTTAGCTGTTGGGTTGTCATAGATGGCTTTTATCAGATTGAATTAGAGGCCTTTTATTCCTGTTTTCTGTAGGACTTTGAACATGAATGAATGTTCCACTTTGTCAAAAGCCTTTTCGGCATGATTTGAGATGATCATGTGGTTTTTAGATTTGGCTGTATTGATATTGTGTATCACATTCATAGATTTGCATATATTGAACCATCCTTGCATCCTTGGCATGAATCCTACCTGGCCAGGGTGTATGATCTTCTTGATGATTTGCTGTATTTTATTTGCTAGGATTTTATTGAGGATTTTCACGTCTGTGATCTAGAGGGAGATTGGCCTGTAGTTCTCTTTTCTGGTTGCGTCTTTCTGTTGTTTTGGTATCAGTATATTACTTGCCTCCAGGAATGATTTGGGGAGGACTGCTTCATTTTCAATTTCGTTGAAGAGTTTGAGGAGTAAAAGGATTATATCTTCCATAAATTTCTTGTGGAATTCAGCTGTGAATCCATCAGGGCCTGGAGTTTTCTTTCTTGGTAGGCTTTTTATTATATGTCGTATTTCCTTGTCTCTTAATGAATTATTGAGGGTTGTTATATTTTCTGATTTAAGTTTTTTTGGTTTTTTTTTTCTTTTTTTCTTTTTTTTTTGTGGTACTGGGGATTGAACTCCAGACCTTAGGCTTGCCAGGCAGGCGTTTATGCCCTTGAACTATCTCCCCAGCTTCTGCTTTAAGTTTTGATAATTTGTATCTTTCTAGGAATCTGTCCATTTCTTCAGTGTCTTCTATTGTGTGAAAGTCAGGATTCTCAGTGTAGCTATTGACAGCCTTCTGAATTTCCACTGGGTCTGTGGTAATTACACCTTTTTCATTCCTTTTTGCTTACATATGAATTTTTTCTTTCCTCTTTTTGATGAGGTTAACTAGGGGCTCATCAATTTTATCTAATGTTTGAATGAACCAGGTTTTTGTTTCGTTAATTCTTTGAACTGTTTTCTTCTTCTCAATTGAATGAATTTGTACTCTAATCTCTATGATTTCTTTCCCTCTGTAGGCTCTGGGTTTGGTTTGGTTTTCCTTTTCTAGATGCTGGAGGTGAAACATTGGGGTGTTTATTTGTTCCCGTTCTTTTTCCTAATGTGTGAGTTCACAGCTATGAATTACTGTCTGAGAACTGCTTTCATCGCATCCCAGAAATTCTGATAAGTTGTGCTTTAATTTTCATTGAAATGTAGATATTTTTGAACTTCTTGTTTAATTTCTTCTGTGACCCATTAGTTGCTGAGTAGGGTGTTGTTTAATTTCCATGTATTTATAGGTTTTTTCTATCTTCTTGTGTCATTTATTTCCAGTTTCATTGTACTGTGGTCAGATAATATGCATGGAATAATTTCTGTTTTCTTGCATATACTTAAGCATGGTCTGTGGACCAGTATGTGGTCTATTTTAGAAAATGACCCATGTGCAGCTGAAAAAGATGTATATTCAGCTGTCATTGGGTGGAACACTGTATATTTCCACTAAGTTCATTTTTTCTAAGCTCTGGTTCAGTTCTGCTACTTCTTTGCTAATTTTTTGTCTGCTCGACCTATCTCTTTGGGATAAGGGGGTGTTAAGGTCTCCTGTTAAGATTGTGGTCTTGGATATTAGATTTTTCATGTCCATTAATGTTCGTGCTATATAGTTGGGTGCTCCCATGTTTGGAGTGCATACATTTATGATTATTACCTCTTCCTCTTGAATTTTTCCCCTGACCAGTATATAGTGGCCTTCTTTATTTGGTTTGATCTTTCTTGGTTTGAAGTTTTAGTTTATCTTGTGTCACTGAGCAAAATCCTCCACTTATGGCAGGCACTGTGCATATGCAAATAAACTGTAAATGATTTGAGTAGTATTGATGTGGGATTTTTTTTGGTGAAAATTGTTTCTTACTTGTCTTTCTTAGGTTCCAGTGGGATACCTGTGAAGCTGGTTACAAATCTCTTTCATTTAGATCTGCTCCAGGACTGGCAGCTGTATCAGTACCATGTGACGTATGTTCCCGATTTAGCATCTAGAAGGCTGAGAGTTGCTTTGCTTTATAATCATAGCAAGTTTGTTAACCATGCAAAAGCGTTTGATGGTGCCATTCTTTTTCTTACACAAAAGCTAGAAGAAAAGGTATACTACAGTGATTTTTTGATTATATATATGTGTGTGGATACGTATATGAGATATACATATTTTACATTTATTTATTTTGTGTGTGTGTGTGTGGCCAGCTCAGCCCACCAGGGGGCGGGGCTGGCTGGCATGTGGTGCTGGGGGATTGAACCGCGGTCCCTGTGCTTTGCCAAGCTTGTTCTAAGTAGGTGCTTTAGACCACTGAGCCATCTCTCCAGCCCGAGATATACATATTTTAAAAAACAGTGATTTTTATGAGAATTGGAATGACTGTCATTCACTTTTTTCTTCTTTCTTGTTCTTTGCTTGAGAGCAAAAAGACTTCCTAATTAAGGCATCATCATTACTTGATTTCCTAAGTAAGTTGGTGGTCTGACATTTTAAAAGTAAGAGCTCTAAAAGCCCTTGAAATTAGGATCCTTTTTAATTTTTCCCAAAATAAGCCTCTAAGAAACATGTTGGCTTATTGCTTCAGAGCTTTACATTTATCCGACTTCTTTTTTTTTTTCTTTTTCACTCTTGCACAAGAGTGCTGGTGTGTCCAAAGAACTTCACATCTAACCCTGAGTCTGCAGCTGTCATTCTTTTGTTACTTGCTCCATCATACGAAATATGGGTTACTGGTATCAATTCTAAGAGCATTTTTAAAATGTGGCCGTTGGAAATAGCAGTTGCATGTTTCATGTTTTTTTGTGCTTTCTGTATCTTCAGTATTTTCAATCCTAAAATATAGATGTGAGTATTATTACAATATACTTTGTTCTAGGATACTACTAAAAGTTCCATAGGAAAAAAGAACCTGTTTCTATAGAAAACATTAAAACAAAGCATGGGATTAAAATTGTATGCTTTTAGCCCATAGAAAACTTAATTTTTAACTCAACATTTCCAGCAGAATGGTACCAGTATTCTAGATGTAAATTTAAATGTCAAGACTATATGTAAATCTTTGAGCATTTCCTCACGAAATGCATTTCTAGGGCTGGGAAGATAATGCAGTGAAGATTTTATCTGGTTACGAAACTTTAAAAATTATGCCTTATCATAAATCTAATCTTAGAAAATCTGTAAAGTTAGAAGTGTTTTTACTTACTGTAAAGTTCTGGTTGGTCCTTCAATACTTTGTTCTGTGGCTAGATGTCAGTAACATGCCAATATGACTTATACTTAAATGAGATATTTCAAGTGTATCATTACCATAATCATCTTGTTCTTATAGATAATTTGTAGAATTTAAATATGTTGGGGCTGGTGAGATGGCTCAGTGGTCTAAAGCACCTACTTAGAACAAGTTTAGCAAAGCACAGGCACTGCGGTTCAATTCCCCAGCACCACATGCCAGGCAGCCCTGCCCCCTGGTGGGCTGAGCTGGCCATACACACGCATAAATAAATAAAAATTAAAAAAAAAAAAGAATTTAAATATGTTAAAGTTAGTTTGCGCTTGGGTTATGGAGATAGCTCAGCAGTCTAAGTGCCTGCCTAGGCAAGTGCAAGGACCCAGGCTCGATCCCCAGTACCAGGTTCGATCCCCAGTACCACATGCACGGAACTGGCCAGCAAGACTGGGTGTGGTGGCACACACCTGTAGTCCACAGGGAAGGCTGAAATAGGAGGATTACTATGAGCTGCATAGTGACAGCCTGTACCAAACACATTAAAAAAAAAAAAAAAAAAAAAAAAAAAAAAAAAAAAATTTTTTTTTTTTTTTTTTTTTTTTTTTTTTTACTTTTGGCGGAACTGGGGATTGAATTCAGGCTCTTGTGCTTGTCAGGCAAGGGCCAGTTCTACTGAGCTATCTCCCCAGCCCCAAGTTTGTACTCTTGAATGGTCTAAGTTAGTTAAGTTGTACATCACCAGAATGGAGAAATTTGACCCTGCAGATGCGAGGAATGGGTTAATATTATTCATGTCTTGGGCCAGGGAGATGGCTCAGTAGAGTAAGAACTTGCCTGGCAAGCACAAGGGCCTGAGTTCGATCCCTGGTTCCCCCAAAAAAAGAAGAAAAGAAAAAATTAACACAATATTATTCATGTCTTAATCAGAATGAGCATGTACTTTGTCCCATGTACATTTCTGTTGCTGAGGAAGTCTAGTGAGGAGACAGGTGACAAAATAAACTGTAAAAACTATAAAACAGTATATAACAAATCAATCTTGTTTATTTTATTCTGAATCTGAGGTGGTACTTGGTGTAAGCAGAAGTGTCTGCATATTCCTTGTCAACAGGCTGAAGAAGAAAGTGTCCTAACAGTGATGTAGCTGTTCTCACCTTTCGTTCTAATTTTAATATTAACTCCAGCTTAGTGCTGCATCCTCGCCAGTCCTTTACCCGTTTTCTAGGGGTTGTGATAGCTGGAAGAGTCCCTTCACTGAGTCACGCATTGCACTGCCTAATGTGGCTCTGGGAGCCCGTTCAGCCAGCTGGCCCTCTGCTGTCCTCCTAGACCCCGTTTGAGCAGATGGAGTCTAACTAACTGGGGCTGCTGCTGCTCACACGTGTTTGCATACTCATGTGCTTGTGGAGAGCCTACTGAGCACTCTAGGCTGCTATTGCATGGTAGAAGTGGGGTTCTTCTAAAAAACTTTCAACATGTTACCAAAGTTATAAGTAAATACATTGCAATGTGGGATAAAATAAGTGCCAAATAACACACTTTGCTAACATTTAGTGAGCAGTTACCAAGTGTGGACACACTGCTTAGTTGTTCTCTAGATTAACCCCACAAATCTCTCTTGTGACAGGCGGCTCGGCTGCTACTCCCTTGCCACCATGCTGCCTGCCAGACTATTTGTTCACCCTTCATTTTGCCAGGATCGTACTGGCATAATCTTACGCACTGCATGTCTCTTGATGAAGATGAAAGTGTTCTAACAATGATTGGGCTATTCTCACCTTTCAGTCTTGTTTTAATATTGATTCCTGGCACCTAAGAGAAGTTAATTGTCTTGGTCAAGGTCAACGTACTTCAGTGAGAGTTGCAATCAGTGTCTTTCTTTTCATTTCTTTTCTTTTTTTTTTTTGCAACAAATAAATGTGTTTATTAAGCAGTGAAGCTAGAATGACTTCACCTCCTAAGCACTGTTGTTGAGATTCTAGGTAGGCAGGGCTGGAGACCCTACTGCTAATGCTAAACAGTTTATTAGGCCAGCTGCTCTGGCAATTTGGGGCATAAAAATGACATTTGAACTTAAAAATGCTGCAGCCAGCCTGGCCATGGATGGAAATGTGGTAAAGCACGGCGTCCAGGCAAGGGGCAGCAGTTAGCCAACTAGATGTTAAAGGCTGCTTCTGTGGTGCAATTTCCAATAAACAGGCTATGCTTAATAAACATATACAAGTACACTTTCCAGAGGAAAGGAAGTCTATCTCCCCACCCCTACCCCAGTCCCTCCGTGGCTCTTGGAGAAGCCCGGCCCAGGCAGATCAGTGCTCTGCCTCTCTGTCCATCTCTCTTTTATGGCTGGGGAGAAAGGGTCTGCTGGCAAAGCAGAGCCTGCACAGGAACGAAGCATCCACCTTGAAGTTGATCTGTATCAGAGGCCTGGGCATCTGCCTCATGTGCTTCTACCTGAGCACTGTGGCTGCTGGCTATATTGGGAAGAGAGGTCCTCCTGGACCTCTGGCTCTATGAGGATCTCTGGCACCACTGGTTCCATCAGGAACTTCTCCATCACTGGCTGTACCAGGACCCACTGTACCTCCCACACATTGGATTTTATTGACTCCAGGTAGCTGGAGTCCGCTGAGAACTCTAAGTCAATTGGATCCTGGTGTCTTGTTTAGTCCATCATGCTTTCCATCACAAAGGTGTGAAAGGTTGTAGTCAGTGAATCTGCTATGACTTCTGAGGATGATACCAGATTCGTATCTGGTCTCAGACGAGGGACTCGACACTTCAAACACATCTGGAACAACGTCTTCTGGTTCAACTTTTACTAGGGGATCTTGATCCCCATAAGTTGTTGCTTCAAGGCACCTATGGATCATCAAAGGATCTTCCTCATCTGAATCTTCTTTAATCAAATTCTCATGGTAATGCTTTGCAGTGTAGAGATCCTTTAGGATCTCAGTATTGATAAGACAAATAGATCCCACTAGATAAGAATGTTCTTCATGGGAAATTTTAAGGCAACTGGCTCAATGCACAGGTAGTTGGGAACAAAGCCAACAAAAAACAGAAAAGACCTACTGCAAATATCTCGGAGGGTCAGGATGAATTCCACATGCTCATAAAGAGATCAATTCCTTCTTTAACATTTCTTCTTTGAAGAGGCAGCAAAAATCAACGTAGGTTCCCACTGATTCCAACAAAGGAGCTCCTATTTTAATCTTATGGTAGACTGTTTTTCTCTTCATCAGGTAGAAACTTTGTTACTTTTTGGCCCATGAGCTCATGGGCTTAGGAGCCAAGAAGAGTTGTGATGTTTTCAGTCGTGAAAAAGATCATTCCCTCTGTATTGAGCACAATCATAGTGGAGTCTAATGCCTGCAGCATCATTTGTTTCATTTCTTCAAGGTTACAAAGTATTGGAACCCAATTCCAGTCATTCATAAACTTTGGCATATTCACATTTCCTTCTTGATTTATCATCACAGAGGAGGGCTGTCTCAGCGTCACAGAAGAGGCCCCTGCTCTGGCCACAGAAGAGGCTTTCCCCACCACAAGTCTCAGAAGAGCTTGCAGTGTCAGAAGTCTCACTTGTGGTCTCAGTTGAGGTGTGGGCCACTGTGCCTTGTCCTCTGTTTTACAGGAGCCATGATGTTGCCTTGTGGACCAAATTCAGTCAAACACTTAGTCATAGTGTGCTTTCGTTAGAAGTGTTAATTTATCAGACTGGCTCCCCTTGTTTCCTTTGTCTTTCTCCATTGTGCAGTGACATAAGGATAAATTCTCAGGAGCCGCCTCAAAGTCTGCACTTGCCACCAGTGTACGCCTCAGTGCTCACTGGAAATGCCAGGTGCAGTGCCTGCAATCAGTTTCTTAGGGAAGATTTGGATCAGTTAAATGGACAGTGGGAGAAACAGATTCAAAGGGCAAAAGTACAGTGAGGAACTGAGGGACTGTACATTAGAAACTTCTCTGTCATTCAGATTTAACCAGGAAGATGTGGAAGTTGTGGCCTCAGAGGAAGAGAGGGTTTTAATTGTCCTGTGGAAGAAAATAGCATTCCTAAGGGCCTGCCAGATAGCTCAGCAGATTAAAGCCTCTGCTTAGGCAGACGCAGGGACCAAGGTTCAGTCCCCTGGCTTGTTGTGCCGGCCCTACCCCTGGGGTATGCTGAGATAGTGATTGAGACTGGGTGTGGTGGCACATGCCTGTAATCCCAGCACTTGGGAGGCTGAAAACAGGAGGATCACTACATGTCTGATCTATGTAGTAAGACTCTGTAGACCCTGTACTAAGTATATTAAAAAAAATAGTATTTCTGTGTGGAAGTAAAGCCTTTAGAAGACAGTTTCCATGGGAGCTGTGCTAATTACAGTTTATCTTACCACATTCTATTGAAAGTTTACAGAAAGAAGTGGAAAGATTAATTAAGTACCAAAAGAGTAGTCTGGGCAGGATGTCAGAAGAAAATCAGAGGTAAGACCCAAAGTGCAATCTTCCTCAATGCCTGATTATGCCATGGATGAGGATAATCCAAGACTTACTCCATTTAGACTCCATGGTCCTGCGATGTAAATTGGATTCACTGCCACTGTAGGACTGGGGAAAGTTCAAAGACTTTGGTAGAAGTTGAAGTAACTTGCTCTAGATCACGCTGGCTGTAAGAGGCAGGAGATCAGGATCTTTGATTCCAAATTGTGTACCCCAAGCACTATGACAAACAGTAGTATTGGAGTAGCTGGAATGGAGGTATCACTTACAAAGATGTACGAGACTTGCCAGTTGATTAGGATGTGGGTGGAGGAGGGGAATGAAAGTTTGCTGTTAGGTTAGCAGCTTGGAGACTGGTGGATGAGGGTCCAATATCAGATGTAGGGAGTCAAGCAGTTGGTATTTGCTTAGGGAGGCAAGAGAGCTGAGGAGTTTGGTCTAAGTGGCTGTTGGGAAATACAGTTCCTGAGACTATCTGCTACCATCTCCACTCAACCCCTTGTTATGGCACCCTTTGTTGTCTTAGTCTTTTATTTAAAGTCGTAGGTACACTATATCATCACATCTTTTTTTTTTTTTTTTTTGTACCAGGAATTGAACTCAGGACCTTGTGCTTGCTGAGCTATCTCCTTGGCCCTGTTGTCTTAGCCTTTTGTCTAGAGGTCCCTATGGTGATTTGAAATCTGCGTATCCCTCCTGACCACCACTTGGTGATGAACTCTTCCTCACTATGTGTTCTGATTTTGTACAATTGTATCTTAGACAAGAAATCATCTCAATTCAGTATTTCACCCCTGTGAAGGAATTGCTTTCTCTTTGCTTACAGGCAGTGGTGGGTTCCTACCATATGTCCTTGGTGCAACCCAAAGCTAGTTAAACTGCATTGCAGGTGTAGAAAGCAGGCACAGAGTACATTGGTGCTCGCTAAGGGGCTCTTTTCTAGTTTACCTTTTTGAAAACTCCCTGATCATTGATTGATATTTAATGATTTTTGAATTCTTTTATTTCAAAAACCTTAATGAGTCCTGTGTGGTTCAGGGTGCTTTCACTGTACAACACTGCATCAGCATTGTTTTAGATCAGAAAAAGCCTAACAGCTTCTTTAGCTGTTTGCAAATTTTTAAACTCAGATTTCCTCTCTGTTCTAACTTCCACCACTTTGTTTCCTTCCTCGTCTTTGCTCTCCATCTTGTTTACACCTGTCCATCTCCTTGGCTTTCCTGTTCTCATCTGTTTCTCTGCCTTCTGAATAGGCTTACAAAGGCTGTCACAGGTGTCTACGATCTTGGAAGGGCTAAGACAGATGTGGGCTCCTGGGCATCTGTGGGACACAGGAAGTGTGTACATGATGCGCTCTTGTGGTACCACATACACGAGATTTTCTTAGCAGGATGTAACTTTTCTCAGACTCTCCAAGTAACTCATGATCCACCTTTCACCTACCTCCCACCCCAAAGGGAAGGATCAACTGCTCTGTAATTCTCTCCAGGTCAAGTATTTGAATCAGAGTCTAGCTTTGATTCTCCTTCAAGAGTTAGAGAGTAGAGAAATGTGTTGCTTGTTTTAGGATTATTAATACACAAAGGAAAAGAATTCCAAATAGCACGATGATTAGATCATTACATACCAACACCTACAGTTTTGTTTTTATTAACACGTATTACATTATGATGATTTTGTAATACAGTACCTGTATTCTGTACACTTGGGCACGATCTGTAGAATGTATTGTAAGCGCCTGTCCTCCCAGGTCACAGAATTGTCAACTGAAACTCAAAGGGGTGAGACTGTGAAGATGACTGTTACTCTAACCAGAGAGCTGCCATCAAGTTCCCCCGTGTGCATCCAGGTTTTCAGTATCATCTTCAAAAAGTAAGGCATTTTAAATGGGAATTTATGGGGCTGGAGAGACAGCTCAGTGGTCTAGGTGCTTGCCTGACAAGCGCAGGGACCTGGGTTCAATCCCTGGTACCACATGCCGTGCCAGCCCCAGAACCCCAGGTGCACTGTGCTGGCCACTGAAACCAGACATGGTGCATGCCTGTAACCTCAATGCTAGGGAGGCTGAGGCAGGAGGATCGGTACAAGTCTGAGCTGTGTAGCCAGACCCTGTACCGAATAAATACATAAATAAATAATTTTTTTAAAAGCTTAAGTTTTTTTTTTTAAAAAGAGGAATTTAAGTTGACCTAATGGTACCTTTCAGTATAGAATATGGGTATTAAAATGATCAACCACTTTGTAGGCAGTGTGCCAGCAACAGTGCCTAATTGAACAATTTTGTGTGTATTTCAAGTCCTTGGGCAGTGATGTGTAACACAGTCTATTATGGCTGCTGGCTTCGGCAGCACATTCGTAATCTTATCATGGTCTCTCCTTGGTACAAGTTATCAATCAGTACGATCTCGGCTGAGATAAAGAATTCAATTCGTAGATTATCGTCATCGTGCTGGCAGTGGGGAAAGGGTGTCCTTTCCTTCATTTCCTCTATTCCCTTCCAACCACAACCCCCACACTTAAACATTGGCTGTGTTTGACATGTCCCTTGCAGGATTAGTTCTTCTGGATGGTTGATTTGGGGTTTAGAAGGTCACTGCCAGCTGCTTTCTGCTGTGGCTCCACCCTCAGGCCCTTCCTTTCCTACATGTACAAGTGGGGCAGAAGGCAGGCTTCTATGACTAAACCTCCCAGTGATCGTCAGACCACACCAAGGATTGTATGTTTCAGTCATCTTGGGTATAGGGTGGAGTTTGATCAAATGTGGATTCTCTGGTCCCTCACTGGACCTGGTAAACAAAATGTCAGTGGTGGGGCTTGAAGACACACACTTTTAGCAAATTTCCTAGATGATAAGGAGATATGCTAAAATACATGAGCTAGCTTTACAAGCTGCTGGAGTGAATCATCAAATGAGCTGCTCACAAGCCTCAGGTGCCAGCCCTTTGCTAATAGCCTTTGGAGGGCATGAGATGAGGATGTTTGGGGTTTGGCTGGGTGGTAGTGGCACAGAGGAGCTTCCCGCACACAGAGGCCCTGTTTGTTAGCTCTGATCAGATGCCTTGCCCGTCTCTCTTGATCCTATCTTGGCAATAGTTCATTGCGGCCTAACAGCTCTAGAAGCAGTCTGCCCCCATGCCCTCTGAGAGAGGACTGTGTCAAGCCAGCTGGCCTTGAGAAAGCACTTTCTAGCAAAGAAGCTTTTACTTGGGCCTTACCTTCCTGTAGTGTACTTGAGGTGCATACTGTTAAATCCCCATGTTGGGGAAAGAGGCACACAGCTTGCCTCACAAAGTAGGAGCCTCCATATTCTTACATAACCAGAAGGGCGTCCAAGGGGCCTGGGGTATAGCTCAATGGCATGAGCACCTGCCTGGCAAGTGCGAGGTCCTGAGTTCAGTCCCCAGTGCCCCCCCCCAAAAAAAAAATAAATGAAAAGAGCTTTTAGACATGGCTTGCCTCACCCTTTCTAGGGCAACCAAAATGTTAGTATAGTTGGTGATTGAGTACACATGTATCAGTGCAGTCAATCCTAGAGAGATAAAGGCAATTTCAGTCCTGTTATTCTCAAATTGTTAAGTGATAGTACTTATGTATACTCAGATATATTATCTAAATGGTTTAGTGCTATAAAAAGAAAGAATTGTGCACTTGCTGTATATTTTTGTGTTCTGCCTAGGTACAAACTTAGAATTATATTATTACTAATATTTATCAAAGATTCAAAACATATACTTTCAGGATCTTAAAAATGTTGTCCATGTACCAAATTGGACGGAACTTCTATAAGCCTTCAGAACCAGTGGAAATTCCCCAGCACAAGTAGGTTTATGTATGTTTTCTGTTGCTCTGAAGTAGTTGTTAGTAAGCAGTGTAACTTGTGGTGTAATATTACCATTGTGCCTCCTATGAGAGTCTCTGAGACATAAAATAAAATGGGGTTTTATGAACTTTGAGTTTTTAGTAGCATGGTCAATGTGAAAACAGAAGACTTTTCTTATATTAGTTTCTACAAGGTTATTATTGTAAATTTTAAAAGAAATTCAGAAACAGAATTTTCTGTCTATAAGAAATAATAATGAGGGTTGCAGAGATAGCTCAGCCATCTAAGTGACTACCTAGGCAAACACAAGGATCCGGGTTCCATCCCCAGTACTGCATGCTGTGTTGGCCCCGCCCCAGGTGTGCCGAACCGGTCGCCACAACTGTAATCCCAGTACTAGAGAGGCTGAAACAGGAGGATCACTACAAGTGATCCCTGTACCAAATACATAAAATAAAAAAAGAGAAAAGGTATATTACTGCATCTAGTTAGCACTCTGTCATAGTGGCTGACATGAAATCACAGGACAAACTGAGATCAGAGAAGCCACCCAGATTACCCTAGTGCAGAGCAGAACTGTTCTGAACACCAGCAGCATGTCCAGCTTGAGCCAAGAGTTCGGTGCTGTGGGGATAGTGTCGACTTTGCCATGAGCTGGTTGGTATGTCGTGCTCTGACATACTATGTTCAGGTGAAAGAGGCAGCTGGTAACTCAAAGACAGACACAGAGAAAAAAGGAGAAGTTCAGAAAGGATAGAAAATGGAGTGGAGTGTGCCTTCTGTCTGGCGGCCATGTGTTCATTTAGTGAGTTGGCATGGTCTCCCTGCAGTGTCTTGTCATCATCTCACTTACCTCTAGCTAGATAAGAAATTCTTTTAGGTCTAGAGTTCTAAACTGCTGCATGCCCTAGTGGAAATGCTTGTCCTGAAGGATGGCCAAGTATCACAGTGAATTAAATCCACAAAGTAAGTTGTAGAGTTTGGTTCCTATCACTTTTGTAGCTTATGAAAAACTTCTCATCCCATGTAGAAAAGGGCTGTAGCACAGGCTCCAGCTCTTCGTGTGTATCTGTATGTGCTGTCGCTTCTTGCTTTCCTTAGCTCGTTAGCAAATCTTTCCTCGGCCTTCACCTTTGAGATGGCATGTTTTTTCAAACTAGATGTTTCCGTGAAGGGACAGCTCACCCATAACTATAGTGCTCCTGACTGTGGTTCTCTGCCGGGGTGTTTTAATCTCCCAGGGCACAGTTGGCAGTGTCTAGAGACATCGTTGGTCGTCACAGATTGGGGGATGCTCTTGGAATTGGTGTGTAGAGGCCAGGACGTTGCTAAGCACCTGGCACCACAGAGAATAGCCCTGACAAAGAATTACCCAATCCACAGGGTTGTCCAAAATGTCACTAGTGCCAGTGCTGAGAAATGCTGCTCTATAGCACTAAATTGTGTGCTACACACATATTTAAAGATACTCCAGCTGAAAATAAAGTTTTAAAATCAGGAACTGGAAGAAATCAAACTAAAGAAATTATCAGGCCTAGAGAATCAGAAGGAAAAATCACCATTAAAAATGTTTATTTAAGGGGCTGGAAGATGGCTCAGTAGACTAAGTGCTTCCCTGGCAAGTGCAAGGGCCTGAATTCAATCCCCAGTTCCACAAAAATAAATAAATAAATAAATAAAAATAATAAAATAAAATAAAATCCTCAAAATTATCTTCCTTTATAGTTGAGTAGTACTCCATTGTGTGAAAATAGCACATCTTTTTTTATCTGTTCCTTAGCGGATGAACAGTTGGGTGGTTTCCAAGACTTAGATATTACAAAATGTGCTGCGATGAACATGGGTCCACATACATCGCTGTGACATGACGTTTTCATTTCTTCTGGGAAAATGTCCAGAAGGGGAAAAAGCTGGGTCAAATAGGACCTCAAATCCTAGATTTATGAGGAATCTCCACACTGATTTTCCCAGTCTACACTCTCACCAACAATGGAGAAGGGTTTCTTTTTGTCCACAGCCCTGCCAGCATTTGTTATTTGTTGACTTCTTGATGATAGCTATTCTTTCTGGGATGAGATGGAATCTCAGTGTTTTTTTAATTTTCACTTCTCAAATGACCAATGCTGTTGAACGGTTTTTGATATATTTATTTGACACTTGTATTTCTTCATTTGAGAAGTGTACATTCATCTCAGGTGCCCCTTTTTTGATTGGGTATTTGAATTTTAGGGGCCTGATTATTTTTAATTCTCTTTATTTATTCTAGATATCCTTTTGAAAGTTGGCTAATTATTTTTCCCAATTTGTGGGTTTTCTTTTTACTCTGTTGGTGATTTCTTTTGGTGTGCAAAAACTTCTTCTTAAGATGAGATCCCAGTTGTTGATTCTTTGAAGTATTTCCTGTGCAGTTTGGATTTTGTTCATGAAAGAGTAAAGAAGGTTCAAAAGGTAAAATATGTATAGTGAAAGAAACGGCTAAAAAGGATGAACAACTGGAATGGGGGAAAAGAGAAAAGGAAGGGGAAAAAGATATGTATGTATACACAGAATAACTAGGATAATTGTACTACTAATTTCTATTAGCTCATTGAGAGGACTAGGTCGCACTTACATTGTTTGATCAATTCTGCATGCCTGTACCTGGTAATCTGAACAACTATTTTGAAGATAACAATATGCAATACAATTAACCATCGTTAATTTCCTGTCATCTTGTGAAATTCTGTACAGTTTTTATTAAAATATTTATTGTGTTTCTTTAAAATTAAAAAATATTTATTGTGTTTTGAATGTTAATTTTTCTTGTTCTTTTTATTTGCTGAAAGATTATCCCTTTGGCCTGGATTTGCTGTTTCTGTATCACACTTTGAAAGCGGGCTTCTCGTTGGTGCTGACGTGAGTTACAAAGTCCTCCGGAATGAGACTGTGCTGGAATTCATGACTGGTCTCTGCTACAGCACTGACAGGTCCCGCTTCACCCAGACCTGTGAGCACCAGCTGATAGGACTCACTGTTCTTACAAGGTATAAATGCACGTACATAAATTTTCTCAGGAGAATGGTTTACTTCCGGTGTTTGGGAACGGGAATTGCGTTGGAGCACTCATCTGGTCAGTTTTCTTACCTGGTCAGAAGATCTGGCTGTTCTCACCAGTCTCGAGTCCAGACTTCCTTATGCAGCACACTGCACTGATGCAAGCTGACAGGGCTCCAGATTATCCCTGCTGTATGCCCGCAACAGTCTTTTGGCTTCAGTGCTTCTGCCTGTGCCCTGCACCCTAAATCCGGCCTTGCAGATCTCCACTTCCACATGGCCCAGCTGTAATCTTCCTGAGCCTCTAATGCCTGGCAAGTGGGCATTTTCTGTTCCTTCCTTCTGCCCATTCCTGCAGCGTTGTGCATGGATTCACCTCCTCACAGTCATGTTACTGCACTTTGTAATGGAATTACTTCTCTGCACATCTCTAGGTTGGTTCATATATAATTTATCCTCAACATCATTGAATCAAATTGCGTTAAACTCAGGTGGACTCAGCGCCTTCCTGAGGACTGTTTGTTGTCTACTGGTGCTGATCCAAAAGGATTGCTTTTAGGGAGCAGGCTAGCCTTCTCGTACTCTGCACAGAAGTCCATTTTAAAGCTACTTTTCTAGCTTATGTAGCTGAGCCGTGGGACCAGTTGCGTTCCACACTGCCTGGAAAGACACTCCTTATCTTCTTATCATAATCTTGGTAGTTTGGATTATCATATTCTCTCACAGATACCCTGCAAAATCTTGAGCACTCTGCAGAAGCCTGCATCAGAGTTTTCTGGGGCACAAGGAAGTTCGCTCGAGGCTGTGCTGAGGCCAGATGGCTCTAGCTGGTCTTAGCTGAGTGGTTCCATGGCTTTGCTAAGGGCCAGCCTAGTTGGAGGGGTTATGCATGTTGTCACAGTTGCTGTGACAGCCTATTTTGGTGGCAGTTTTTTGTTTTTTCACAGAAATAGCTGTAAAAAATTTTCGTGACCCTAGAAGCTAGTGAGAAAGTTTTGAGCCATATGTTGGCGTTTGAATATACATACATGACTTACTTAGAATGTCGTATCAGTGAGAAATAGATTTTAGTCTAATGACTTAACTAGTTTTGTTGGAATATGATCCTCCTATAGACTGGAGAATTGTTTTCTCAGGTAAGAGTTAAAAGCATTTTGGGGTTCCTGTTTTCTGTATTTCTGACATTACAGATTGTATTTTACACTTTGAATTAAAAGCATGAAGTATTTACTTATCTGAGGTGACTTAGGAAACTTTTCTGAAAAGGCTCCTTGAACTCGCTAGGTACAATAACAAAACCTATCGCATTGATGACATTGACTGGTCTGTGGGACCAACGCACACCTTTCAGAGGCGGGACGGTTCTGAGGTCACTTACGTAGATTATTACAGACAGGTAAGAACCTTATTTCCTCCTTTTCCTCTTGGCTCAGAAAAGCCTCTGTTCCTTTCTTTTTTTTTTTTCAATATTTGTTTATTTATTACAGGATTCATCACACAGTTCACAGTCAATAATCCTCCTGTCTCAACCTCCCCAGCACTGGGATTGCAGGTGTGCACCCCCACATCTGGGGTTCTGGGGCCAGCATGGCATGTAGCACCAGGGATTGAACTCATGTCCTTGAGCTTGCTAGGCAGGTGCTTAGACCACTGAGCTATCACCCCAGCCCTCTGTTGCTTTCTAATCCACCAAGTTCCCCAAATTGTCAGGCCGAGTCTGCCCCTCATGTACTTTTCTTGCTCCCTTGCCTCTGTCCCCATCTTGGCTCAAACCCTCATCTCATCTTCTGCTATCCATCCTGTAGTATGAATAGTCTCCCACAAGTGCACACTTAATGCTTGCTTAATCATGTCACTTCCAGACGTAAAACATTCCCACAGCTCTTTGTTGTAGTAGGAACCAAGAGAAGTTCTTTACCAGAGCTTCCAAGGTTAGCCGTGCTTTTCCAGTCCCCTCTGCCTTTTGTTCTGTCCCTTTCAAGCTCTCTGCTGTACTGGCTTTTGTCCTTCCTTGACTCAGTTTCTCCAATGGGTTTTCACACACTCTGCCCCCTCCTCTCAGATTCCTCCTTACGACGTGATCAGCCCAACCCCAAGTCAGTACTTGGCCACCAGCTCTCAAGAGAGCCCTGGCTATGTTCCTGGGTTCCTTTCCCTGAACCAGCTGAATCAGGTCGTCTCATGTAGGATGTGAATTGTTCGGCTTTCTTCCTAAAACATGGGATCTGTGGACAAAACCTCAAGATTTTTATTTCTGGATATCCAGGGTTAACCCAATTCTTCACATGTAGTAGATGATAATCAAGAAATGTTTATTTCTGGGATTTCCTGTTGTCTTTGGAAGTGTTATTTACATTACTACAAGTCTCCTGCCCCTACCTTCCATATTTTGAATCTTTCATGGTCATCTTTTTTATGTAATCATTCAGGTCTCTACAATGTCACAGATGGATTAAAAATCAAAAGCGGAATCTCTGATCTTTTACATCTTTGGAACAAGCTCTCTTTTTATCCTTAGCTAGTTTTGGAAAGTTATCTAGACTAGTTCCAAGCCCCTCTTCAGGTTTACCTTCCAAAAACATCATAGTCTGGTATCCAGCTCTGTTGCTATGGCGACAACTCTACAAAGAACACTCATCTTGAGTGGATTTCAGTGGCTTTTTTTCCTTATCAGTAATTTTAAGTAACAGATAGTTATTCATTTTATGAAGTACAGTGTAATATTTTGGCACACTTACACATTGTGTCCTAAATGTAAAATGAAATATGCCAAGCACAGAAAGACAGATGTTTCCTGATCTCACTCGTGTGGAATCTAAAGCAGTTGGGCTCACAGCGGTAGAACACAGGATAATTATCACAAAGGCCAGAGAGGACAGAAGAAGAGATTGGTTAGTTTGTGCAAAGTCACAGAAGGGTAATTAGGGCTAAAACTCTTGCAGTAGCATCTGATGCTGTGACCACTCCTACGTGCCTGAACGTCTCCCTTTCTTCTTTGACTTGACACATCCTTTGTGGCTCTCCACTAAGTTTCAGGTTGTTCTGACTCAACTTTTTGGTGATAATTTCCTTCCTCCCTCCCCCTCAAAAGGAGCCATTATATACCATGATTCTCTCAGTCAGGATGTTTTTTTTTGTGTGTGTTTTGAAGCTGCTCAGATGTTTTTCCTTGCCCTCATTCTCAAATTATACATTCATCTTTACTTCTAGAACATATTTCATGGGGCTGGTGAGATGGCTCGGTGGTCTAAGGCACCTACTTAGAACAAACTTAGCAAATCACAGGGACCGCGGTTCAATCCCCAGCACCACATGCCAGCCAGCCCTGCCTCCTGGTGGGCTGAGCTGGCCACACACACACACACACACACAAATAAATAAATAATTAAAAAAAAATAAAAATTAAAAAAAAAATAAAAAAAAAATAAAAAATAGAACATATTTCATGAATAACCGCTCAAGCTAAATAATTCAAACTGAATTCATAATCTTTCCCATTCATGTTTCTCCTTGGAAACTGAGTATCTCAGGAAATCATTTTATTTTCTCTTCCTCACCCTCAACTCTTCATTCAGTTGTCACCAGCATAAGTTCTGCCCCTTAATGCTTGAAATCCCTCTGCCCCACACCTGCCTTTCCAGCTTGTTCCGGTGCAGGAGTGCAGGACCCCTCATCACGTCCCCCAGGGAGTAAATACTTCATCACCTTTTATAGTCACCCTTGTTCCAGCTCTCCTCACGATGCTACACCATTTCCTCTGCCGCCAGGGAGACCCTTCTGAAGTACTGCTTGGAAGCGTGTTTAAGAATGTAAGCTGAGGGCCAGCAAGATAGCTCAGTGGAATAAGTGCCTGCTTAGGCAAGCGCAGGGACTGGGGTTCAATTCCTGGCACCACGTGCTGCTCCGGCCCTGTCCCCAGGAGCATGGCCTCCAAGACCAGGAATGGTGGTGCATGCCTATAATCCCAGCACTGGAGAGGCTGAAAACAGGATTATTACTATAAGTCCAAACTGTGTAGTGAGACACTGTACCAAATACATTAAAAAAAAAAAAAGAATATAAACAGAACTAGGTTGGTCCTGACTGTAGCTGTGTCATTTAGGAAAATCACTACCATAGAGACTGGTGAATGACCTACCAAACCTCACTGTAAATTCCTGCTTACCTTCATTGTGTGATGTAAGCAGTGAACAAGGTAATAGTGCGTGCAGAGCCTTCAGCCCAGTGTCCATACAGTGTGGGCGGCAAGCAGGTCAGAGGTGGAGGCCTTGCCTTCCTTGAGAGCCTCCCCTCTTCACTTCTGGTGTCACAGCTTGACCCTACCCCCCCCCCAACCTCATCTCTGCTGGCACCTGCTGTGCATCCCTGCTGTCATCGCTCCTGCTCGCTGTCCAGGCACTCGCTGCTCTTCAGCTTTTGTGCATCAAGCCATAGTGGGCCTTTCTTCACCATTGGTGTGTAACTTCAAGGTCGGCTGTCGGCTGTTTTGTGCTGTCCTCCATGACTTTGCCTTGTGTCACTCATGTTTTCTCCATGCACCTGTAGGATGAGTCACATGGCTTCTAGAATTCGTTTTCGTTGTAGAACAGGAATCTGAATGCATGGTACCTGGCAAAGCATCTTGTACACTGAATGTGTTCTGTGTTTGCTTGTAAAATTCACAGTTTGTTAAACATGAGTTTTTTCTTGCATGATTTAAAGTCATTTTTGTCACATGCTGCACTGAGCCGGCCACGGAGACCTGTGGTGGTGGCACATGCCTTCCAGTAATCCCAGGCATGGGGAGGCTAAAAGTAGGAGGATCACTACAGATTCAAGCTGCATAGTAAGACCTTGTACCAAATACATAAAAATAAATAAAAGCTTTTTTGTGTGAACAGATATATTACAGATACATTTTAGGACTTGTAATTTCCTGAATAGGCACTCATAGTAAAGACCTCACTCAGTTTTTTTGTGGTGACCTGTGGTGCAAACACATCATAACAGGAAGGAAGTGAAACACAATTGTGTTAACATTTAGAATGTCCTTCTCTTGGTGCCAGAAAAGGAACACTAAGTTACTATGTAGTTTTCAAAGTGGAAGACATTATGTTATCCTGTAAAATATTTTTAAGTGCTTAGAGGGAGCAGGGATATAACCCAGCAGCATAAGCACCTGCCCGGTAAGCACAAGATCCCAAGTTCAATCTCTGGTACTGCAAAACAAAAACAAAAGCATTAGTTGGGGCAAGGGAGAAAGTAAAATTTATCAGCAGATATCTTTGAGAGTAAATTTATTAGTTGTGTTGTATCTATCGGAGTTTCTTTTTCTGAAATTTGCCCTGCTTTGCTTGAGCTGTTTTCTGGGGCTTTCCTACACTCGCATTTTTATCAGGGCTTTTTCTTGGACTCTACCTCCTTGAAGCCTTCCCTGATTCACCAGCGTAGGGACCCAGAACTGAGTGGTGTAACCAGCACAGTTAAGGGGTAAATCTTAGCTGTGCTAGCTTCCAGTAACGGAGCCTTAGCAAGGTTTAACTTTTCACCAGCATTTTCTCATCTGTGAAGACGGTGATGTTACTGTCTGTATTCCATATTTGTTAAGATAAATGAGGGAGGCAGCCCATTAAGGGGATTCCTGTTCCCTACTCCTGTTTCCCTTTTCTTTTCTTCCCCCTCCTCCCCATTATCTGTGCTTTTGTGCTCTGGAGGTAATGCTGTGGCGAAGGCAGGGCTGTGCCTCTTCTGTCCTGGTATTCAGTGCAGTTTCTGGGGCATACCAAGCCACATGCACTGAGTTAATAACGTCATGGATACAAACTGGATGAAGGCTTGCCAAGCCTCTTATCCATGGCTTCAGTTGTACTTTCTACTTTGAAAAATGATACCTGAATTTCGTTCTATTTTAATGATTAATTTTGCTTTGATGTCTTTTTCTTTTTGAGAGAGGGTCTTGCTACGTAGTTCAGGCTAGGCTTGAGCTCACTTTGAGCTCAGGCTGGTCTAGAACTCACAGCAGTTCTCCTGAATGCTGGAATTACAGGGCTGCACCATGCCCCACTTGAAGTCTTTAATGGAACAGAGAGATGTTGGCTTTGTACACTTTTAATTATATTTGCTGATGTGAGCAATATGCAACACCCAAGCATTTTGTACGTGTTAATTGCAGTTGTCCTTTGATTAGTGTTGAGTGAGCTTTATAGGAAATGATGTTACCTGGAACCTTTGCTACTGGAAATGAAGTTTTGGCAGGGCAAGAACATTGAAATCCAAGTTTAGGAAGGAAAGGAGAATGGATATGAACTGGCAATGGCCAAGGATCAAACTCCTTGCTGTTGACTCGCCGAGGATACTGTTGTCCTCCTCACATTGGTGAGAAGAGGTGAAGAACTTCCCGAGTCCCAGCCTGGTAAACACGAGCGCGTTGGATCCAGCTCATAGCTCCCCAACTTAGAAGCTTCTCCATACTATGCCATCCTGGCTGTCGACTAGGAAAGTCTGAGGTCAGCTCTTGCTTCCCACCTGCATGTAGAAATTTTCAAATTGAACATACTTAGAGCCAGTTAAAATGGGTGGTGTTCTTCAGCGTCCGTGGTGGAAATGCTGGCTTCAGGTCAGGCCTGGGAGGTCCCTCAAGGGTGTAGGACCTGCCAAGAGCTGTTCTGGTCTGTACAAAACAGAGGGAAAGCAGGGGAACACTTTAAAATGGTGTTGCAGTATAAGAGATGTTGTTATTAAAATAATAAAATTGGGCCCCAAATATAAAAAGAGTGCTTGAAAGATAAGGATTGGGAAACTGTGGGATCTTTCCCGTCACTGAAGAGATTTACTTATGCAGTGTAGTCATTTTGGGGTCTTGTTTGTTGCTAAAGATGCTCATCTTGCAGCATTTCTACATTAACTGTTTCCTTATTAATCTTGCATTTTATAGCAATACGGTATTACTTTATCTGACCTAAATCAGCCCATGCTTGTTAGTCTATTGAAAAGCAAAAGAAATGACAACACTGAGCCTAAGATTGTGCACCTGGTACCAGAACTCTGCTTCTTAACAGGTAACATTTGTGTCCCATGACCCTGTCAGGCCCCTGGTCAGAGATGCAGAGCCTTAGGAGTGATCCGAACCTCATTCGCTGAACAAATACCAGAGCACTAATTTAATTCATGGAGGATGGTGTCCTTAAGTAATTTATTCAAATATAAAGACAAGGAAGGATAGAGAGTGCTTTTCCTCATACATTTGCTTGTCTTTTTTTTTTTTTTTTTTGCGGAACCGGGGATTGAACTCAGGCCCTTGCACTTGCCAGGGAAGCACTTATTCCACTGAGCCATCTCCCCGGCCCCTTTGCTTGTTATTTTTATGTAAGTAAATCTCGGACTAAAAAAAAAATTTAACGTATTTGGTACAGGGTCTCACTACACAGCTGAGGCTTATAGTGATCCTGCTGCTTTCAGCCACCCTGTGCTGGGATTACAGGCATGCACTACCACATCTGGACTCTGAGGCTAGCTCAGTGCACCTGGGGCTGGGACTAGTGCTGCATGTGGTGCTGGGGATGATGCAAATAAATATGTAGGTATTTTCCTAGAGCCAAGTTGCTATTTGCTATTTTTAAGTTTCACTAGCATGAGAAATAATCTGACTTTGATTTTTGAAAGGTATATTGTTAGACTGCTGCCAAAATGATCCAGTTTCTTTTTTACTTGAGCTCCCAGAAGGTAATCCTCAATGGATAGTACAATCTGAATAATTTGCTTTTAGAAATACTTACTTTACTAATAGAGTATGACTTAAGAAAGGAAGGGTTTTTATATATTGTATGAATCACATATGTAATACATACTTTTTGTGCATAATGAAAATTTAATAGAGTACAGTTTTTGGAGGGAGAGATACTCATACCTAACTTTATTTTTTCCTGCACAATCATGGTAGTCCCTAGTTACATGAGTTTACTAAGCAATGGCCATATGACTTGCTCCATTGAGAATTGGAGGGGCCTGTGTTCCAAGTGGGAATACCAACCAGATTTCAGAGGCTTAGTATTTAAACAAGAAAACTACCCAGATACCTGAGTCTTGGTGCTGGTCCCACATTGAAATGGCAACATGTTGAGTGTGCAGGGTTATTAACTTGCACCACTCCACGCAACGTTACCTGTTACTTGGTGGCTGTCCTGTGTGGCAATGTGTTGAGTGTGCAGGGTTATTAACTTGCACCACTCCACGCAACGTTACCTGTTACTTGGTGGCTGTCCTGTAAACACGGGTGCGGGCAGCTCGCTCTTCTTTTGGTGCTGCTCTGATGGTGAGTGTGAGGCAGTTCAAATGGAGAAGCTGCAGCGGTACTTGCGACGAGCGAGCGGGCTTCCGTTGCACTTCGCTTTCCCACACCGCTTTCCTTGCGCCTCACAGGCCTGGCCGGTCAGGCAGCCTCTGACTTCCACCTGATGAAGGCTGTGGCTGAAGAAACGCGTCTGGGTCCTCTGGACCGGCAGCAGCGCCTGGCCAGACTCGTGGACGACATGCAGAGGTATCGAGTGCTTTGCTGAGCCTGCATGTGCTCTGAGGCAAGGCTGAGGCCGGCGCACAGAATTAAAGGAGCTGTGTCAAGCTCGGGCGGTACGCTGCATAGTGGTGAGGGCCAGGCTGCAGCTAGACCGCTCTGCTCTCGGCTCTTTGGCACACTGAAGCTGGGGTAAACCGCGGAATGTAGGTAAGGGTTGTATTCGAACCACCCCCGCCAGTGGAGCCAACAGAGATAAAATGCTGTGAAAGCCTCCCAGGCCACGGTCAGGCCCGAGATGGGTCTGCTACAGCGGCTTAGCTCGCGGGACTTCAGGCAACCCCTGCCATAGTCTCTAATTCGATGCGTCCTCTTAGGGCGTGTCCCTGCTCTCCGTTAGGACAGTTGCTGCAACCTGTGCTGGGACACGAGCTTTTGGCTTTCCTTTCTGACTCCCTAATGCGCTGCCTTCTCACACTGCAGCCCCACGTGGCCACTGGGCATTGGAAGTGTGGCTAATGACAAGTCGCGGATTGATAACATTTTGAGTACGTTAGGTGAAATAAAATATATTTATAAGTAAGTCATTTGTTACTTTTTAATATGGCTTTGAGGCGGTCTGCAGCTCCACTGCCTGTTTATTTTGCCCACAGCTGAAGCTTTTCCATTTAGGATGAATCAAATTCACCATCTGTATAGAACTACTAAAACATTTAAAATAGTATTTGTGGCTTTTCTTTTCTGTTGGGCCACATTGTTGTAAAATGATCACTTTCCTTTAAACTTTTCCAAATAGTAGCCCATGAAAGTGGACCTTTATTAAGTAAAACAAAAGAGAGAGAATTCAGTAACTGTTCATTAAATAAATAGTTCATAACTGAATGAATTTTATGTTTTTTCAGATATTTGTAATTGAATACGTCCCCCCCTTTTTTTAGGAAAATGACATTGTACTATATCATATTTTGTAATTTATTTTTACTTAAAGGATTTTCTTGAACATTTCCATATGATAAATGTTAATCTCTGTCGTGCCAGAGGCTTCATAGTTTTCCATTTTATGGATATACTTTTTCTTGGTTTTTCTGGACATCCGCTGACTTGCACCTCGAGAGGAGATTCTGGTTTGTCCTCTTACACTGGACTGTGGCTTAATGCACTGATGCAGCCACAGCTACTTTCAGTAATACTAGTTACCTCCTGCTCTTTTCCTGACCATTGATAGTCTCACCCACCTCATCTTGGGAAGACAGTATCTGAAACAAAATCATTAAGTAAAAGAATTCAGTGTTACCAGCCAAGATACATAATCTCGGTAATGACAGGGATAACGAGCTGGTACTGGGTGACAGTGATAAAAGGCTAGAGCTCTCTGAAAAAGGAGGCAGAGCCATAGTAAGGAAATACAAGGCTCGGTCTCATCAGTGTCCTTTTCTGGCTTGGTGTGGCTGGGCACTGTATAGGACATGTGACAAATCAGTACACGTGCCACTCTCAAGGAGCTCATAGAAATCATGTTATGTTTGAGGTAAAACATAAAGTATGAGTAAGTCTTACTAAGTTGCAAACTTAGAGTTCTACACAAACATGAAAGACTTCCTATTGCTAATTCTAATACCCTTTTCGTGGTCTTCCAACTCCAGTGTCTGTCCCGTGAACCCGTAGAAGGGTGAGCCCTTTCATTACCCCCTTTATCATGTTCCATCCACTTCCAGACCAGTGAATTCAGTGTTCCCAGAAGACCTTTCCACGTCCAGAGGGTCCCAAGTATCTTCTTGTTAGCAAGGTGGTTATTAGAGTGACAGTGTATTTGTTGGACGTGATGCCACGTGCCTGCCATCCGAGCAGTCCACAGGAGGAGGGAGAAGAATCAGCGGGTCTCCCTGGTTAGGTCACGGCCAGCTTGGACTGCACAGTGAGACACTGCCTCAGAAAAACAAACAAAAAAAGATAGTATTGCACGTTTGTTGAACGCACGTGCCAGGCACTAGGGTAAGCGCATTTCATATATTCTCGTTTACCTTTCATATCAGCTCAGTGAAATAGTTATTTTTTTTACCCTTACACTTTTTCTAGTAAGGAAGCTAAGGCTTTAGAAGGTTTATAGTTTGCTCCAGGCCATATGTTATCATATGGCCTTGGGAGACAGCCCAGGTGCCTGGCTCCTGGCTCCCAGGCCCGCTCTTCCAGCCATGTGCCGCAGCAGAAGCCTTTCCCAAGCCCTGCGTGGCCCAAGGTGGCACAGTTGTTGCACCATTCTTTTAGGCAGGAAAGCAACACCACCAATAAAGAGTTAATAGAAATGGAACCCCAGAATCCAGGAGATAGACTCACCTCCTAAATAATTCAGTGAGTTATAGTTTTATTTTTAGTGATTAAAATTGTTTAGAAAATAATCACTTTAACAACTTAAAACAATTCTATTAACAGAAACAAGGGTGCTCGTTTTGAGCTGGAGACCTGGGGACTGTTCCTTGGAAGCCAAGCGTCTCTCACAGGCCGGGTTATGCCTGCAGAAAAGATACTAATGCAAGGGCATGTGGTAAGTGTTACGGAGTCACTGCCCCTTGAAATTATTTACGTGATGTCAGTTTGGTCGTTTACGAGGATGCTGGGAGGATTGCCATATTCATTTGGTTCCTCCAGGGCCATGCCCTTGCCTTCCCTTTGTCTGAAGACCTTTGGTCCCTCTGACTTCCTGGCAAGTGTGAGTTGACCTTCGTGGACTTACCGGCACCCAGTGAGTGTGATTTAGGTCCCTTAGACAACAGCATTTAAAACCTTTGCGATTAAGACATGTCCGCCGTACTGGCTGCTATTCTCTCTCACAACTTAAAGCCAGTTACCTGAGGAAGTTTGTGAAGCTGGTGAAAGGCAACCATAACAAACTATGTTTCCTGATGTCAGAATTGGTTTTGTTCTGTCACTTGCCTTTTAATCTTTCAAAAGACAGTGCTGGCCATTTGTCATAAGACTAAAGAAATCTATAGAGAACTTGTATCCAGACACAGCACCTGGACAGAGGCGTGCCCATGCTGGGGGAGGCAGCCGCCAGGCGTCCACTTCAGACAGGAACCTGTGTAGGCAGACACTGTATGCTGCTCTTCCCTTTTTCCCAGTTTTTGGGGCCAGTTACATTTCATTTTTAAAAATGTTCTCTTTGTTACCACAAAACAGTTTGTCTAAAATACAGTGATGCCTCGGTACGCAGACTTAACGCACCCTCCCGTGAGGTCAGCATGACCCTCACCAATGGGCTTTTCAGTTGGCCACCTCAGTTTGCGACCAGAAACGTGGGAAAACTTGAGTTTGAGAACCAGGGCGTCAGTGCAGCACAGGTGAGCGCTGAAGGCGTCCTGGGCCAGAGGGAAGGGTTTTTGGTCTTTTTTTCCTGATAATCTACCAAAATTACCAAAACGTTTACTGGGGAAATTGCGAGGAAAGTTACTTTTCAAAACAAACTCTGTTAAGCACTATAATGTAGCCCTGCGCTGGGGCCCTGACTTTGGTCAGTAAAGAGAAGTTTAGTTTCAGATCCATACACTTAAAACACTTAAGATGATCTGCTGGGTGTGGTAGTGCACACCTCTTAATTCCAGAAGTTTGGAGGCTGAGGCAGGAGGATTGCCACAGGTTTGAGACCAGCCTGGGCTACCTCATGAACTCAAGGTCAGCCTGGACTACATCGTAAGAACTTGTCAGTAACAACCAAACAGACCCATCTCATTCTGGATCATTATTTTTGGTAAATACTTACCAAAAATGTTTGTTTTGTTTTCTCTTTTGCATTTTTTTGCAATAGAAATAAATCTCCTTAGGACAGTCCTGGCAAACCTTTTGGAGCTTTTGATGATGCAAGCAGCCAACCACTGTGTGAGTGCCATAGGTTCACTACTGCTGCCAAGGAGAGAGGCATTAAAATGGAAAAACTGGGCAAATGAAAGAGCTCAGCGGACTGAGTGCCTGCTTAGGCAAGCACAGGGACGAGGGTCTGATGCCAGGCGTCACATGCTGCACCAGCCCTGCCCCGGGTTACGCCGAGCCAGCTACCAGTCTAGGAGTGGTGGTACAAACCTGCAACCCCAGCACTGAGGAGGCTGAAAACAGGAGGATCACTGTGAGTCCAAGTTGCCTAGTGAGACCCTGTACCAAACACACAAAAACAAACAAACAAAAAAGGAAAAGCCTGCCACCTAGAGGTAGTAAGAGCTAAAAGAGTGTCATTAGTTTCATGACCAATTTAAAAACAATTAAAATTAGTTCCTAGGAACGGATTAAAACTACAAGTTTATAGGCACATTGTTTGGTCTCTTTGCTGGCTCCCTAGACAAATCCATGCAGTGTTTTTTGAGCAGGAGGGCTTATGACTGTCTTCACAGTGGCTGGAATGTATGGGAACAAACCTTTGTCCCAGAAGGAACTGTTCATAGAGGGCCAGCCAGCCCTTCCCTTTTATTCTCATGCTGAGGTCTCCGCCAGCAGCCTGGTTCTAGCCCAGTCACCTGAGGAAAGGCATTACGAAAGTGGCTGAGGGCTGGAAGTCAGAGCTATTGGTGACAAGTGCTCCGGCAGCAGCAGCAGACTACTAGCATTCTAACGCTGTCACTGCTGCCAGTTGGCTCCTAACTTCCCTGAGCCACAGGCTTCAAGGGCTTTAGAATGCTTCATAAACATTAATTCTTGTGTGCATCACCTGGGAAACTTGTTGCATGCGGATTTTGATCCATTGGATCCAGGGCAGGGCCCAGGACTCTCCATTTCTGACAGGCTCCCAACAGTTCATGCTACTGGTCCACAGAAAAACACTCTGAGTAGTAAGAGATTGGGTCAGCATGTACTTCCATTTAATTCTAATAGAGAACCTTCCTGGTTACTAAAGCTAAAAAAATTTCATTTACAGTGGACCTTTGCATTCTGAGCCCATTGTGTTGTAGTGGCTGGTTGTAACTCAAGTTAGTTGTAAGTCAAGACTATTTTTCCCACAAGAAACAATGAAAATACGATGCATTCTGATCCTCCCAAAACACACCTTAACTAACCTTTTCATAATTAAAAGCATTGTATAATGTGTGTGATTTGCCAGAAGCGCCAGTAATTTTCCTAGTGTAGTCACCGAAGAGTTAGAAAATGAGCCTAGTTCACCATTCACGGTGAACCTTTGGCTTGCAGGAAGGGAGGATAAAATGAAGTTGGTTATTGCTGGGAAGGAGAGTCCCCTTCCATAAGGATATCAGGAATCTGGCTCCCCATGTCTTTTCTCCTCTTGGGAGAGTCTGTAGCCCATCAGGACCTGCCTCTGGCTCACTGGGCCCAAAGTTTTCAGAACTAGAAGCTGATCTAAGGTTGTCTGTTTCTGTGTTTTCTTTCATGGTGTTTTTTTCTATTGTGATTGCTTTCTCTACCTTCCCTTTGCTTGGCTTCTTTCCCAGCTTTCTCAGTGCCATTCTAATAGTGGTAATCATGGCGATTATACAAAGCTCTGACCAGAATCGTGTCCACAGACACGTGCCTCTGGCATCAGGCTGATGCGAGGTATGCTTATGTATACTTTTCTAGCACCATGAGTCTTCGTTTACAACTGCACAGCCAGCATTTGTGGCATAACTCAAGATTGTGAATTAAAACTCATACTGTGGTCGTGCCCCAGGTTGTTCATATGTGAGGCCAGTCAGAACCTGAGGGCCCCCCGTATCTCAAGCCCTTAATAAAAGCATAATGCTGGTCTCCAGTATGTGAGGCCAGTCAGAACCTGAGGGCCCCCCGTATCTCAAGCCCTTAATAAAAGCATAGTGCTAGTTTCCAGTCTAAAGTCCCCCCTACTTCAGTTATGGAACTTGATTTTCTTTTTCTTTAGTTTTTTAATTTTTTTAAAAGAATATAAAATAGTGATAGAAAAAATTTAGAAATGATACAAAATTTCACTAAACAAAGTAATAGGAATTCAACAGTGGTTGCTGTATTACATGATGCTTTTTTTTTTTTAACAAGGAGTAGGTCACAATATTTACTTGTTTGTTTTAGAAGGTTGATGTCATGGTTTGGGGTTTTTACAAAGGGCAACTATACAAAGCAGAACACATTTGATATGATTATTTTATAATCAGTCACCCAAAGAATCATATACAAAGAGTGCAGGAAATTTGTCCACACATGAAAGACCAAAGAAGCAACTGGGGGCCTGGATCACACAGTAGTGTTCTGAATGAGTCCAGCTGAAGACCTAGAGCTCATAAAAATGCCTTCCATGAGTCTAGCTGGAGTCCTAGAGCCCATAACAATGTCTCATGCAGGTACACTTCAGCAATCTGCGCTAGAAATGCCCAAAGGTCAGTGGTGGAAACTAGAAAGTCTGTGCCAGCAGGCTGAAGGATCTAAACTGGAGCCAGGAAGTGATGCTCAAGGTTAGCATCAGAGTTCCCCCAAAGAAATGTACCACAGCCGTTCTCGGTAACAGCGAGGTCCTGAACTCCAGTGATAAGGAAAGCTGAGTTCCCATTAGGAAAGCCACTGTGACAAGCTTCTCCAGGAGACTGAACTGTGCACCATCTTCCCCTGTCGAGCAAGGAAGTAATGCTCAAGATGAGGACCACAGCCCCTAAATGAACCATAGCCATTCTCAGTGACAAGTCAGTCCTGAGTTCTTCCTCCAATGAGAACAGTGAAGTTCATCAGGAAAGCCGGCATGATAAGATGCTCCAGCAGAATAGCCCAAGAGAACCAGCAGCTTCCAACAGCTCCAACAGTTTCTCCAAACAACACCCCTAACAGCCTCTCAACTTCTCCAGTTCTGTCTCTTATGTTGCTGCCAATAATCCTCACATAGGCCTCCACACCCAGCATTCACCTGGGTGTAACAAGTTGACCACCAGTTAGCAATCCACTACAGTGGACTGTGAGAGATCCAGCAGTTATAGATATTATTTTTCCATGTTATTATCTGTGAGTTTTCTAAGTTTTATCTCCACACTTCCCGTGGAGGAAAAAGCATGGTGAAGAGAGCTATTAAATAGACTACCAACAAGCACCTACAATATTTGAATGGCAATGGAATACCCATCTCTGACAAAACAAAAAAGGGGACATAAAAGAAGGACCATTTTGTAGTGAAAAAAAAATATATATATATACAAAATAGGATAGATATACAGCTACTTAGTTCAATGAGAAGAAAGATTTATACTAACAGTATTTAGACAAGATATCATGTCTGCATCTTATACTCTGAATAACTACTACAAAGACAACAATATGCCATGTATGAATTATTTCAAAACAGGTCCTCCTAACCTGTTTTGAAACTGTCTCATTACTATTTCTTTCTCATTAAAATTCATTTTTAAAAAGAGAGAAAAAAAGAAAATATTTTTTAAAAAATAGACTATCAAGAGCCTGACTGTCATAGCCCTATAAAGATCACTCCTATTATGAGTCTAATTGAAATCAGGAGTCCCTGGACCTGCCACACTGACCCCACCCCCACGGCACGCAGAGACAGCAATTGAGACTGGGCATGGTGGTGCGCACCTGTAATCCTAGCTCTTGGGAGGCTGTAAACAGGTGGATCACTATGAGTCCGATCTAGTTGTGAGACCCTGAATGCCCTGTAGACCCTTCCTTAAAATACAAAAATAAATAAATGAAATCAGGAGTCCCAGTACAGGTGCCCACTTAAACTGTGGTGAATTAGGGCTCATTAGTGACTCTGCATATCTGATTCTTGAGCAGTATTGGAGTTTTTTTGGTTGTTTGGTCAGTCAGTTGGTCGGTCATTCGGTCAGTCAGTTGGTTTGAATTAGGGCCTCCCTGTGTAGTCCAGGCTGGTCTTAAACACACTATGTAGCCCAGGATAGCTTCAAATTCATAGCAATTCTTTGCCTAAGACTTCTGGTTGCTGAGTAGTCTTGTTTTTTGAAAAGCAGTCTCAGGGGCCGGAGAGATGGCTCAGTAGAGTAAGCACTTGGCTGGCAAGTGCAAGGGCCTGAGTTCAATCCCCGGTTCTGTCATTCCAACACTCACGAGGCCGAGGCAGGAGGATTGTGTAATGAGTTAATGTAAAACTAAATGTAGAAGATTATTCTTTTCAACTTTCTGTGACCTTGCTTCCTTGTAAGACTGCAAGGAGGCTTGGTACACTATCGATAAATCATCAGTAGACAGAGTTCCCAGAATAGACCTGTAATCCCAGCTCTTGGGAGGCTGAGCACAGGCAGATTATTACGAGTCTGATCTAGTAGTGAGACCCTGAACACCCTGTAGATCCTTCCCTGTGTACTGGGTGGCAGGCAGAACGAGCAGGTTCTGAAGGTGATGGTCAAGGGTCACAGCCACTTCTTATCAGTTGGAACTGCCAGTGAGACCATGTGGGATTGGCCGGTCGTCTGGGGATGGCATCTGGAACACCAACCCTTGCGCCATTTCAGAGGGTCATCAGCAAGATCCATCCAAGCCTGAATGTAAGTGACCTGGTCAGGGTGTCCCAGATTTCCAAAGATGACTCTCTGGACCTGGCAAGCACGAGGACCCAAGTGTGATTCCCCAGCCCCACATGCCGTGCAGTCTCTGCCCCAGATATCCAGCTGGACTGTCTCGTCCCCGGATGCAGGTGCTCACCGTGAGGGCCTGGAACCAACCGGGCATGGTGGTGCATGTCTGTAATCCCAGCACTCGGGAGGTTGAGCCAGGAGGATCTCTGTGAATTTGAGACCAACCTGGAGAGTTGGTAAGCACAAGGCCAGCCCAAATTGCATAGTGAGACCCTTGAGATCCCGGAAGGCTTCTGTGTGCTGCAGCTGCTCCTTGCGTGGATGTCAGATCTATCTGCGAAGAAAGTAGGCCCCAGCGGCCATTTTGCCGATGCTATCCTTAAATTAGTTGTTCAGATATAAATATGTAAGATTCATTTAAAGAAAAAGCAATGACAAAAGAGTTATAAGAAATTCAAAAGAGAAAAACAAATCAGAGTTTTTTTTTAAAAAAGGAACTTTATTTTCTTAGTTGACTGAGAACTGTCCAAGAGGGGAGAACTGTTGTGTCCTGACCTCATCTTTGCCCCTCAGATAGCTATTCCTAGCTTAATATATAGTTTGATCTTCCCTGTAGGGCTTCTCAAGATGAGTAGTATGACCGGGAGTGTCAGGAGTCATCATTTTCTGTTTGAGATATCAGTTTGCCTAAAGTAAGGCAACCAACCTGGACAGCCTGAGCCATTTATAAAAGGCTATAGATTTTTACAGCTGGAAATGAACCTCATACGTCTTTGAGTCAGACACCATTTTTTGCACAGAGCAGATGCCTGTTAGATGTTACGTAAAGTTCTGTGTCTAGGGCTTGGCAAACCTGGGATGGTCCCAGATGCCTCCACTCCCTGGGAGCACGTGTGTTCTGTTCAGATGAGCAGTGTTTGCTCTGTGTTTTTAAAGACTGTGACTAGCAAACTGCCTTAAATCATTGTTTTGTGACAAGCGTTGGCCATGTGCTCACTGTCTTTAATTGCTTGCTCAATAAATGTGCTTCTGATACTCTTCTCAGTGTCAACCGATGTCTGCCGCTAACTGGACCAAGGATATGCGAACTTTCAAGATTTTAAATGTGCAATCTTTGAATAAATGGTTGGTTATATGTAGTAACAGAGCTGAAAAAGTGACTGAGGACTTTCTGAGCTGCTTGAGAAGAGTTGGAAGTTCCATGGGATTTAATGTGGAATACCCAAAAATGTGAGCATATACTGCCCTTTAATTTTGTTTTCTGTGGCAGGGATTGAACTCAGGACCTTGCACTTGCTAGGCAGGCGCTTAAGCCACTGAGCTATATCCCCAGCTTACACTGCACTTTAAAACAAACATTAATTAGAGTTGGTTAAAAGGAAGAAAATAATGGCTCTTACCTGCAAAAGCTTCATCTCAGTAATGTCTTCTACTCTAAAGTGCTAAAGAGCTATAAATATTGTAACAAAATTTTTATAAAGCCAAAATATATTTTCCATTCATCTGTGTAAAGCATTGTGATCATAGTGTTTCAAGTTGTCACATTACCTGAGACTCTTTTTCAGTACTGGGTATAAAATTGTAAAGGTCTATATAGGCTTCCTAATTTTTTCCTTACTTCCTTTATATCAGTTATTTATAAAACTTAAGAGCAAAAAGATTAAAACTTAAATTTCTATTTCCTGACTTTATAGATTTTATGCTTTAAACTTTTAAAAATTTTTTGGTACCATGGATCAAACTCAGGACCTTGTGATGGCCAGGTAGGTTCTTATGCCACCAAGCTGTCTCCCAGCTGTAAGCTTCAAACTTTAATGAAAAAGAAATATAATTTTTTTTCTGATTTTGTTAGTTTAGCAAGATTAATCATTTAGGCTGCTGATAAAACCACAGTCATCTATTTATTCCTGGAGCATTTGTTGTGTTCTGTATGCTTAGCCAGCTGCTGGGGTGCTAGAGATGTGATTTTAGTAGACACATGTCTGTATAATCGTGCTGAAAACTGAACACTATGGTGCTATATAGAAGCTGTGAAGTTCCTCGTTTCCTTGAATTTTACATGTTTAGAAAGAACAAACGATTCCTTCTTTTTCTTTGAGGAGGTGCAGATGTGCGAATTGGCAAAGTGGGCAGTTACTGTTTAAACACACGGTTACTAATTAATTAGATCAGCAGCACAAGTGTCATTGAAAACTGTAACTATTCCCAAAGTTTTAGTTGTAGAGTTTAGAATTCTCCGCTTACCAAATCCATTAACAAGTCTCTTGGTCCAAGTTTCCTCTGCCCCAGTTTCTCTTAACCCATGAGCTAGTGAAACAGGAAGAAATTATGAAAGGGGTCTGTATCAGCTTTCGCATGAATATTAGGAACAAGCCATGTCTGAGTTCTGGGTTTGGACTCCTTTTTTTTTTATTTTTTATTTTTTTTAATTTTTTAGGGAAGGGTCTACAGGGTGTTCAGGGTCTCACTACTAGATTGGACTCGTAGTGATCTGCCTGTTTACAGCCTCCCAAGAGCTGGGATTACAGGCACACGCCACCACGCCTAGTCTCAGTTGCCATCTCCGCGCGCCCCAGGATTGAACCCCCAACCCCTGTGCCTGCTTGTGGGCGCTTTAATCAGCTGATCTATTTGGCCAGCCCTTTGGACTCCTTTATTAGAAAACCCACATTTAATTTGTTCTTTTTTCTTTCCTATGAGGTATTCATTTACCTGTTAGAATTATATGCACAGCTTCTCTCATCTAAGGCAGTACCTGGTGATTTTGGGAGGAATAGATAATAAGAATGGCTTGAATTGGGGTGCAAGAATTTGAACTGAAGTCAGAAATGTTGGGCCTAGGCAGTTGTGTGCGCTCTCCGTGCAGCTTTTGGAATCAGCAGCAGGCCTCAGTCCTCCTGCCGCCCGCTGGGCAGGCTTTACAAGGCCGCTGGTTTTGTGGAGGCAGGTCCAGTTGTGCGCCAGAGGCTGATCTTACGTAGAGAAACCAGATTCACAGTTGTCTAGCTGTGGGAGTAATTTCTTGAGCCCCTGGCCCCTAATAAAATACTACATAATTGATGAATGTTTAGTTACTGATCAACTGATTAAAGCTTGATGTTCCAGCATCCAAATAAGCTATCGTTAAGGGTGAAAAACAAAACCAGGGAAAAAAGGAAAAGAAAGACGTTCTTCCTGAAACATGCATATTAGTTGAATATTGTGGCTTTACTAAACTTATAATTCCTGAGATTTAAAACAATTTTCATATTCATATTCGAGAAGTCTTACTCTTGCTTTAATTTGAACCCTGTTTCAGACTTTTGATTTTTGAGATTTTTGGTTTCAAAAGTTCATTTTTGATCTTGTTTTGAACAACAGAAATATTAATTGAAGGATTTGTATACAAATGAGGAAATTTTATTTGCCACCAAATGATTTATATATTAAACATGATTGTTTTGGGCATACCTTACAGTAGGAAATGATTTAATATTTTTAATTTTTTTCTTTTAAAGATAGTACAATTTAGAATTAAAACAAAAAATTACAAGTGATACAGATTCTCACTTAACAAATAATATGAATTTTATAGTATTTGTTGTAATACAGTATTGTCTTCCAACCAGTTATTCATATTATCAGATACATGCATGTAAAATTGGAAGAAAAAAGAAAAAAAGAAAGAACTGTGTAAGAAATTAAGAAGAGAAAAAGGACAATTGAAAGGAAGGAGATGAAACAAATTAAAGCACTAACTTCTTTCCACAGACCAGTAGAAATGCACAGTACAGTTGTGCAAACCGCCCTGCTTACATTCCTAGATAAATCTCTTCCCCCCCTCCCTCTCCTGTCCTCCTCAAATCAGTAACTCTCCCCTTTTGAGTAAGTTCATTCCCGTTTTCCAGTGTCTGTTGTATCCTTCAGATTCCATTTTTTTTCTTCCAGGTTCTCACACTAAGAAGATAATATGATGTTTGCACATGCAGGTCTGATTGATTTCACTTAAGAGTATGTTCTGTGGATTCAAGTGCCTACAAACAGGGGCAGGGGTCGGGGTATGATCCCTGGGCCTGTGGTGCCAGCCCTGTCCCCAAGGCACGCTGAGATGGCAGTTGAGACTGGGCGTGGTGGTGTGCCTGTAGTCCCAGCTCTTGGGAGGCTGTAAACAGCTAGATCACTACGAGTCTAATAGTCTGATCTAATAGTGAGACCCTTCACACCCTATAGACCCTTCCCTAAAATACAAAAAAGAAAAAAACCTTTTTTCTCTAGTTGCAACCATTTACTGACAAAAGACTCAAATTTATCATGTTTTTATAGCTGAATAATACTCCATTGTGTAAAAATAGCTCATCTTCCTTATCCATTCTTCAGATGATGGGCATCTGGGTTGTTTCCAGGATTAGCTATAACAAATTGAGCTGCTATAAGAATGGGTGCACATATATTGCTGTGATGTGAGGCTTTCAGTTCTTCTGGAAAAGTACCCAGGAGGAGAATAGCTGGCTTGAATGGGACCTCCAATTCTAGCTTTTGAAGCAATCTCCACACTGATTTCCACAGTGGTTGTACCAGTCTGCACTCCCACCGTACAGAAAGGTTCCTTTTTCTTGACAGCCCCTCCAGCATTCATTATTGGCTGACTTCTTGATGTTAGCTATTCTTTCTGGGATGAGATGGAATCTCGGTGTTGTTTTAATTTGTATTTCTTGAATGACCAATGATGTTGAACATTTTTTCATGTATTTACTTGCCATTTGTATTTCTTCCTCTTAGAGGTGTATATTCATCTCAGATGCCCATTTTTAGATTGGGTCTTTGAATTTGGGGGGTTCAGTTTTTTTAATTCTTTCTATGTTCTAGATAGAAGCCCTTTGAGGGACAGTTGGCTATAATTTTTTTCCGGCTTGTTGTTTTTGCTCTTACTCTGTTGGAGATTTGTTTTGAAGTGCAGAACGTTTCATAACGTTACTGATTCTTTGAAGTATTTCCTGTGCAGTTTGGGATTTGTTCATGAGCTCTCTACCTATGCCTACAGCTTTAAGATTTCTACCTACATTTTTCCTCCAGAAGATGTAGTGTTTCTGTTTTAATATTTAAATCTTTGTTCCATTTTGACTGTAGCTTTTTCATCTTGTTAGCTCAGTGGCTTAAGTACCTGCCTGGAAAATGCAAGATTCTGAGTTCAATCCCTGGTACCAAAAAGAAAAAATAAAGTGGTGGGAGGAAACAATTTTAAACCAAAGAGTTTCAGTTTTTAATGCTATTTTCTTAAAATTGCAAATCTGTTATGGAAATCCATTTGTATGATTTCTAACACAATATGATTATATATTGCTAACAAGGGAATTAACCTTTCTCTGTAGCATAGAAGTACAAGAAAATACAGCTGCATTCCTTAGAGCAATCCAGCAACATGTTGATCTTGATGTTCAGTTGGTAAGTACAGATGTTTTTGATGTAGAATTTGTATTTTTTTCTGTATATTAGCAGTAAAGAAGGAATCTGAATATACTCTCCTATATGTTTACAAATTCCTATGCATTTCACCCAAAGAATCCCAGAAAGCATTAATGTTAGTGTTTTCATCAATATTTTGTTTTCCAGTTTGAAGGTTTTACATACTTCCTGTTACCCCTTTTTTAGCTTCTTGGGTGTCTGCTTCGTTTCCATCTTGTTGGGGGTCATGGTTACTCCAGACGTAGGAGAGATTGGCTCCTACCTCATCCTGTACGTGTTAGGGCATTTTTCTCTCCAGTATCTTAGGGAATTCTCTGGAGGGCCTAGGTCTTAACCCCATTTCCACTTGCCACCTCTTTGTGCTTCGTGTAACAGTGCCATTTCCTTGTGCACCTCACCACCCTGGAAAGCAGTTTCCTCACCCCAGCACTGTGTGTTCTTGTGCACGTGGAGTGTGCACACACAACCTACTTTGAGCTGTCTAAACCAAAATATGGTCATGTCATGGTGGGCATTCCAGACAAGTTCCTACAATAACCCGAGCACTTCCATTTTCTGGACGTGCTCTCCTACTGAGCTCTCCTTCCCCAAATCACAGGACTTTGCCTGGGCCTGCATTTTCTCTTCATGCCTCCATTCCTGACTCCACTCAGTACCCAGCATTCTTGTTTAGATCACGTGCAAACAGGTTTAACAATCTCAGGTTCTTTATCAGCCAGACACAAAATGTCCAAAGGATGTTGTATTAGAGAATTCTCACCTTAGATGCACTTACTCTTTATTTAAATAAAACTCAACTTACAGAATAGTTGTAAGAGTAGTATGTAGAACTCCCATGTACCTTACCAGAATACTTAATTAGTGACATTTTGTTGTAGTTCGGTCATCATTTCCTATTTTTTAACGATTTTGGGGTAAGTTACATAGTCCCCTATTATTCTTGAATATTTATACCTATATTTTATATAAACAAGGTCAATCTCCTGCAGAAGCCAATGATAACCAGCCAACTTTAGGAAAAAGAGCTAGTGAACAGGGAGTTGGGACAGTCAATTTGGGGGAGAAAGGAGAAAGGAGAAGCTAAGAGGAGGTGGGCAGGATTGGGGTGAAAGGCTAACGAGAAGGCATTTTAAAGTGGCAATGATGAATTTGTCTGTGGTTTAAAGGCAGCTTACGAGAAATGTAGGTATGTTAATATTTGCTTCTTGGACACTCGGGCAAAAAAATGTTTGGAAAATTCACATGTTCATTTTTTTCCCAAAGCACCCATGCATTAACAAAATGGTTTTATGTTTTGTTTTTTTCTTCAGGTGATGTGCATTCTACCTTCTAATCAGAAAAACTATTATGATTCCATTAAAAAGTACTTGAGTTCAGACTGCCCAGTCCCAAGCCAGTGTGTGCTTACTCGGACCCTGAGGAAGCAGGGGATGCTGATGAGTGTTGCCAGCAAGGTCACGATGCAGATGTCCTGTAAGCTCGGAGGCGAGCTGTGGGCCGTGGAGATACCTGTGAGGGCTCTGTCACAGTTGGTCCTTTTTTTTTTTTTGCAGAACCAGGGATTGAACTCAGGGCCTTGTACTTGCCAGGGAAGCGCTTATTCCACTGAGCCATCTCCCCGGCCCCACAGTTTGTCCTTTTAATGACCAACCAATCGATTTTTAAATCAAAGTAGGAGATAGTAACACCCAATCCCAGAATATTTTTAGCCCTTGCTATCCTGGGTGTGCCCCCTCCCCAACCCCGATACCACCATCTGCTGATGCTTGAGTATCTTACCTAAAATAGTGTGATACTTGCTTGAACCTACACACATCCTCCCCCCTATTTTAAATCGTCTTCACTGATAATATTTAACAGTGTAAATGCAGAACCCTGAGAGATGGAGGGAAAACTGTGTGTGTGTGTGTGTATGTGTGTGTGTGTGTGTGTGTGGTGTGGTGTGTGTGTGTGTGCGTTGGGCTCTAGGGTTTTGCTATTACACAAGCCACTGTAGAGTTACTCTTAAGGAAGTTAAGGCACAACCTCTCTTCTCAGGGAGCTTCAGGTCAGCTGCTAACTTAGAACACTTCAAGAAAGAGAATCTAGTATGTCTTAGGCTGGACAGGGGGCAGGGGCTTGATTTGGATCACTCCAGCTGCTGTTTTGAAATCTGCATTTCCTGGCCTTTATCTTTACCTGTTTCAGCAGAGAGCTGCCTCAGGGGGGCGCTTCACATCTCTCTCCCAACCCCCAGAGCCTGAGGCATCCATTGGCACCATCCACAATCTAGCGATATCCACCTCCTAATTAGTGGGCTGAGAAAGTTTCCCCAGCTCTGTCCGCTGTGGGAAGAAGTGTGCGGAATGAGATGTGGGGGATGTGTTTGTTCTAAGGCCCAGGTGACCACATGTAGTTAGGACCCCTCTACCCCAGGTGCAGGGCCAGCCAAATCAGGATTTCCTAGCAACCTGGGAAAGAGAAGTGGATTCCTCTTCAGATTCCTTCTTCTCAGAGGCAAGGGGTAGAGAGACCATTTTCTCTAAATCTCAGCCACTGGTGACTCTTGCCCACCCTCCAGAAAGGGTGATAGTTATTTCTCTTTCTGTCTTTCTCTTGCTGTCTCTGTCTCTGTCTCTTGCCTTTTTGAGACAGTGTCTCACTGTGCAGTTCAGGAAAGCCTTGAGCTCACTTTGTAGTTCAGACTGGTCTCCAACTTGCAATGGTCCTTCTGCTTCAGTCTCCCAGGTGCTGGGTGGGATTACAGGTGTGCACTATATGCCTGGCTTTTAGAGTGGGTCTGTAAGCAAAGTGTGTATCATACACTTCCCTTCACCTTTAACTTTCTGTTTTTTGATTTAATAATCTGTCTTATCTGGATCTTGGTCTCCCTGACACAAATTTAAATAGTCTAATAATTGCAGATTTTTTTTGTTAAAAACATATTCACCATTGTTTGAGGGAAGATCTTTCATCCTATTAAATCATCACATATTTAATTTTATAGCTAAAGTCCCTGATGGTGGTCGGTATTGATATCTGTAAAGACACACTCAACAAGCAAGTGGTGGTGGTTGGATTTGTAGCCAGTGTTAACCCCAGAGTCACCAGGTACTTTTGAAATTATCCTAATATATTCTTCAGTTTGATTGTTAATTGTAGTTCAACTAAAGAACATATCAGCAAGGAATAATTGATATTTTTCACTCACATTCTAAACAGTAGCATTATGTCATGAATTACACTTACACATAAAAGTGTAATTGACTATATTGGTACTACATAGCTGAAAAGCTTTAGATAGTCGTTGGGGTAAGCAATTGCTTGTATTCCAGTCATATTCCCCATATTATGGATATGTAAAAATTTTTATGCATTTACTTTTCTAAGTATCTTCTGTACTGTATTGGGCAGGGTACCAGGTACTTTACATAGAGAATCTCAAGCATTTAAGCTTTGAAATAGGATTGCTTGGAGTTATATTCTCGTCTGTCACTTAGTGACTGAGGCCTAGTTATTTAGCGTAGCTGTGTCTCCCACTAGTTGTCCATAAGATAGGGATATAATAGTGGCTATTTCATTGGACATTCATGGGAATTATGTAAGGTGACGTCCTTAGAACATTACTGCCCATAATAAGCACTCCACATATGCCTGGTATAATTGGTGTGATTATGATTTCATTATACATATTTTTTGTCTCCTTGGTTAAATTTATCCCTAAGGTTTTTTTTTTTTTTTTTGTGTTATTACAAATGAGATGTTTTTTCTTAATTTCGTATTAGGATAGTTGATCATGTATAGAAACACAATTTATTTCTTAATGTTAATTTTTATCCTGCAACTTTACTGATTTTTCTTTTAATGTTTTTGAGACAGAGTCTATGTAGTTCAAGCAGGCCTTGAACTTACCTAGCCCAGGCTGGCCTTGAGCTCAAGGCAACCTTTATGCCTCAGCCTCTAAATTCTGGAATTACAGGTTTGCACCACCATCCCTAGCACTTTACTGAGTTTTTAAAATTAGTAACAAGTTTTTTGGTGGACCCTTTAAATTTTTTTCAGTATATGATACCCATGTTGTCTGCAAATGGAGATAATTTCCTTTGAGATGTGGCGGTCTTCTGTTTGTTTTCCTTGCCTCATTACTCTGTCTGGGACTTCAGTACTCCACTGAATAGAAGCGGAAGTGGGGGGCATCCTTGTCTGCTCCTGGTTTTCGAGGGAAGGCATTCTGCTCTTTCACTGTAGAGACAGCTCTTCCTTGTCCTGCCACACAAGACCTGACCCAACTTAAAGGAGGGAAGGTGTACTTAGCCCACCTTCCAGGGGATTCCATACTTGGTTGGCAGCCAGGTCCCAGGGCAGCAGCTTCCTGGCTGGAGGGTGTGGCTGAGCGAAGCTGCTTTGTGGAGGCCAGAGAGGAAGGAGTAAGGGGTCCTGTTCAGGACCCCAGACCATGCCTACACCCCCCCCCCCAGCGCACTCTTCAGTGATGTGCTGAGTATTTCTTGGTCCAAGGAAATCAGCATAACTGGATTAGCAGTCACAAGAGTGCCTTCAGCTGTGGAGCTTTTATATATGGGGTTTATTGTGCTGAGGTATTCTTTTTATACCTGATTATTGGGACTCTTTTTATGAAAGGATGTTGAATTTTTTTCATGTCCTTTTTATGAGTTTGTTAAAATGATAAGATTATTCTTTTTGTTCTGTTCATGTGGAATATCACACTTACTGATTTACATATGTTAAACTGTCTTTGCATCCCACGTATATGGCCTGCAATAAAAAAACTATGGTGATTGCTTCTTGGCTTTTTGACTAAAATCAAGTGTAATAAAAAACTACAATGAATAGTTAACTCTTAAAAAATATACTGTATTTCTGGATGTGGTAGCATATGCCTGTCATCCCAGCATTAAGGCAAGAGGATTGTTATGAGTTTGAAACCAGCCTACACTATATAGCAAGACTCTGTCTCAAATAAACAACTCAGATCAAACCCCCAAAAATTATTATAGTAAAAGACACATTCCTGTGAATCCCCCTCAGAACACCTGTGCCCCCAACACATCTCATCAGCTTTCCCATTTTCTAAGGCAGTTCTGGAAGTCCTCTTCCATGCCTTTTTATGGGTGTCTCAGTGTCCTGAATAGATTGAAAACATTTACAGCAATTTCTGTCAAGTCAAATTATGGCATGTCCTCAGACCTGTGACCATCAGCCTTCCAGTTCTTTCCCAAAAGTCAAAATGACTATGAAAGATAAATGCTTTGAATGAATTCAGGACCTTGAGGTAGCCACAAAAAGGCAAGAAAGAGACTTCTGGGCCTGCTTCAGAGAGTGGCAAGAAGGACAGAGTGTGTGTGTGTTTGAAGACGGGGAAGTATTTTGCGGGAGATTAATGGCAATGTGTGTTTTACTATAACTTGTTTTTATATAAATACACTGTAATGTTTGATTCTACCTCATGATCTTTTTAGTGTGCTGGTTTATTTGGCTTAGTACTATTTTTTTTTATTTTTATTTATTTATTTATTTATTTATTTTGTGTGTGGCCAACTCAGCCCACCAGAGGGCGGGGCTGGCTGGCATGTGGTGCTGGGGGATTGAACCGCGGTCCCTGTGCTTTGCTTGGCTTAGTTTGTTCTAAGTAGGTGCTTTAGACCACTGAGCCATCTCACCAGCCCCTTGGCTTAGTACTATTTTTGAGGACCTTCATATCGTTTCTTCATGTTTATGGAAATATTTTCTTAAACTGTCCTTGTGTGGCTTTCGTATCAGGATAATGTTGGCCTGATAAAATACATATAGAAGTACTACTTTCTCTTCATATTTTTTTTTAATTTATTTTTTAATGTATTTAGTACAGGATCTACAGGGTCTCACTCACAGATCAGACTCGTAGTGCTCCTCCTGTTTTCAGCCTCCCAAGCGCTGGGATTACAGGTGTGCAGCGCCGCACCAGTCTCAATCAAGCCTCAGCATGCCCCTGGGGGCGGGACCAGCAGGGCAAGCCGGGCACCAAACCCTGGTCCCTGCATCTGCCTAAGCAGGCGCTGTAATCTGCTGAGCTATCTGGCCAGCCCTCTTTCTTCATAATCTTGTGTCTATTCTTCTTTAAATGTTTAGTAGAATTACCAGTGGAACTGTCAGATTTTGGGCTTTGATTCAATCTACTTTCTCTGAATTGTTCAGATTTTCTTTTTTTCTTTTTTATACTTCATTCATACTAGATTGAATGTTTCTAGGAATTTATTTCTTATGAATTATGCAATTTGTTGGCGTATAACTGTGCATGGTTGCACGTATAATCCTTTGAGTTTATGTGGTATTAATTGTAATATCTCCAATTTTATTTACTCAATTTTTTATTAGTTAAACACTAACTCAAGCCTTGTCCTTTTACCTTTTCAAGAAACAACCGTTCGGTTCATCTTTTTAATTTTTTTTAGACTCACTTTTGCTCTGACTTTTATTATTTCTCTTTGCTAACTTTGTTTTTTTTGTTGTTTTACTTCTCTGAGGCATGAAGTTAGATTGTTAATGTTCCTTTTTTTTTCTTCATGTGGACATTTATCCCTATAAACTTCTGCTTTAGGATTTGCTGGCGAGATAGCTCGGTGGACTACGCACCTGCTTAGGCAGGTGCAGGGACCAGGGTCTGATCCCCAGCAGCACAGGCCACGCCAGCCCTGTCCCTGGGCGTGCTGAGTCTGCAAGTCGGCGTGGTGGTACATACCTGTAATTCTTGCACTGGGGAGGCTGGAAACAGCAGGATCACTATGAGTCTGAGCTGCTCAGTGAGACCCTGTACCAAATAAATAAACAGGGCTGGTGAGATGGCTCAGTGGTCTAAAGCACCTATTTAGAAAAAGCT